GCCTCGGGCGTGGGGGCGGCGGCCGGGTCGCTGGGCTCGGCAAACTTGTTCTTCTCGTCGATGCCCAGGAACAGCACGATCGGCAGCGGGTCCTTTTCGGAGTTGTATGCCTTGATGGCCTCCTCCTCGGTCTTCTCGAACGGGTCGGCATCGACGACCGACGCAATCTCAGCGCGCGTGCTCCAGGCGAGCCGCGGCGGCGTGGTGTCGTGGACCAGTGGCGCGAGGTTGTCGATGAGCAGGAAGCGGGCCGAGGGGTGAGCGAATGCGGTTCGGAGGAATTTGTGGTCGGTACGCAGGAACGACACGCGGTTGAGCGGGCTGCCGGAAAAGTAGTTGGCCACCTCCCGGCCGAACTTGCGGTACAGCATTGAGTCGTCGGGAGGCAACTCGGGCAGGTCGGCAACAGGGAGAATCGACATATCTGGTGGTAGAGGTGTGTGGTACTGTGCGTGGCGTGGCGTGGATGTTGAGGCGTTGTATTCCGGAGTGCTTCTTGGAAGGTCGGAAAGCTTTTGTGTTCGGTGGACTGAGATGCGGTCAACTTTGCGGTCGTGCGTCAATATCAGCAAGGGGAGCGTTGTCGGAGTTTCTTTTCCCGTGCTTCAGCTTATTCGTTGAAATACTGCCGAAATTGCGTCACGATCGGATCCGAGATGGGAGATAGAAAAGGCAAACGAAACCCCCGATGCCCAGTTGTGCCGGCGTTTGGTTCAATTTCGCCAGCGATGTTCGGCGCAGTGCCTCTCTTCCGTGCTGAGAGACAAGAGGAAATCAGAAGCAAATTAACTGTCCTGATAACAAAGCCCTGTTGTCCGGATTCCGATGAGGAGCAGAGAGGGGGGATTTCGCTTCGGAGGGGATAGTGAACGATAGCGCGCTAAGAGGGGAAAGCAGGAGCGGAGATGGGCTTATAGCAATAGACGCAGTAGACAAAAATAAAAGAAATAAAAAGTAATGGCCGGCGATGATAGCCCGGTGGGTGTTTATTGCTCTCAAAATGGACAGCAAAATGGACAGCAGAGACGAGGACTGACGACTGAGAAACTGCCCGGACCGGTATTATAAATCAGCGTAGTGGCCCAAAAGGGAAAGAACGTGGAGAGGCCTGAAGTGTCGCAATCCCCGGACGGCGGGCCACCGCCTAGCGCAAGCGATGACGGCCAGCCGCGTGGAAGTAAGTCCCCGATGTCTGGGTATATGGGAAAAGAGGGGAAGAAAGCAGAGGAAGACGGAAGATTTGAAAAGAAGGAGACGAGGAAAACAGTTGGTAAGGGTGAAGAGAGAAACCGGACATAATAGTAGGACAAGAAAATATAAAATTATTGAAGAATTCAAAAATATATAAAAAAAAATAAGTAAATAAATACAGCGAGCCAGACACCACAACAGAGATGGGACAGAGACCACGAAATTCTAGTAATCATGGGACGTCAACCGAGGTCGTCCCTGGCGGCTGGGGTCAAGGCGAGGAGGTGTCAATTGTTGCAGCACTGAGAAACGATTTGGCAGGAATGAGTACGATTATTGGTCACGTGGTTGTAGCTTGGAATAGCTTCTAGAAGTAGACGCTCACGTCTACCCTGGCTTCTCTTTCAATCCTGACTTGTTGGATACTCTTCGGACTTATGTTGGAATACACTGTGATAATTCGTACAGCAGCTTATTTGATACGGTCAAGTCCCGGTTTTGTCACGTCTTTTGGTGTCTGTCTTATGCACTCCAGAGAAATGTCCCACGCCCGCCCGCATTGGAAGGCGGTGAAGATTCCACCCGTATGTTTAGCTCTTTCCTCGCCGAATGTAAGCGAATTCAGCGGCGTCTTTGTTCGGCTCAAAAATTTTCTGCCAGTCACAGATTAACAAGAGGTGCAAGTCCAACGTCAGCTTCGGGAAGCTCTTTCCCCAAGTTCCCACTTTGCCAGCTTTTTTCGGCCACGCGCGTCCCCTCACTTCTTGCCAATTTCTGTCGTAGGCTCCTTCTCGGTATCGCTTCTGACGTCCACTCTCTTCTGTCCTCTTCTTCATTTTCTCTTTCTCAAACGTCTCGCCATCACCAGCATCAAGCTCGTTCGGTTCCCTCCGACACCGCCGACGCGCTACGACCATCCAAATTTTAGAGGCCGACCCACTGTGAAAAACGTCATTTCGGTTCCACTCTGTTTTACTGGGCTGTAGGAACAGTCGTCTCGTGCATCCTTCGAATCTTTTTCTGTTTCTTTTTTTTGTCGCCTCGTAGCTTTTCGACAAGCTGCTCTGTGTGGACAGGACGGGAACAACGAGCGCCAAGCGAACGACGGCGGTGCCCTTGGGCGTCCTTCCTGTCCATCATGGTTCCTCCCACGGGACCGCTCAACCTCGACGTTGAGGCCATCTCTGGCATTTGCGGGTGCGTGATACCAAATGACTATTCTTCCTTTCCTCGTCAGTGTGGCCCGTCTTTGGCAGCCTTTGCTAACAGCCCTGTTGTCTAGATCCATCTCGATTGCTTGCTGGGTCGTCGTCTTTTCTCCACAGATTATCGAAAACTTCCGCCGTAGCAGTGCCGATGGCTTGTCTCTGCAATTCATTATCGTCTGGCTTGCCGGCGACGTCTTCAACATCCTGGGCGCCGTCCTGCAAGGCGTGCTGCCAACAATGGTATGGCACTCGCCAGCGCTCGAGCGTTTGACTATCTGCTTCTTTTGCTAACATCCGTCTCTGTCACAGATCATTCTTGCCGTTTACTACACGATTGCCGACATTGTACTGCTGGGCCAGTGCTTCTACTACCGCGGATTCACCTGGCGCGACGACGTGGTGCCACCGAAGCCGAGCGCCAAAAAGACGCGGCGATCAGTAGATGCTGCTGGCGGCAGCAGCAACACGACGACCACCAAAAATGGCCGCCCCAACGAGCGCACATCGCTCCTGGCCAAGAACACCGAGAGGAACAGAAGAATCGGCACAACTGGAGAAAACGACCACGGCCACCAACACCAAGGCCACCATCACCAGGAGCGCCGTGGCTCCAACTGGTCCACCTTGTCTCCAGCCGTGCCGTTTGTGCCTGACCTGGGGAGCCTCGATGTGACTGTCGATCACGCCGCCCATACCTCGACAACGGCGACGACGTTGACGGCGGCCGGGACCAGATCCTCAGAGGGCGGCGCCGGCGCGTTCCAGGCGGTTGTATTCAACGCCATGTCTATGCTCATGGTCTGCGCGGCTGGTGTGGCTGGCTGGTACCTTAGCGGTGGCAGCCAGCGTGACGACAACAGCGGGGCCGTACCACCGGCCGACGGCTCGGATGGCGACAGCGACCTGTCGTTCAACTTTTGGGGCCAGGTCTTTGGCTACCTCTGCGCCGTCTTCTACCTGGGCTCGCGCGTGCCCCAGCTGCTGCTCAACTGGCGCCGCCAGTCCACCGAGGGCGTCAGCATGCTCTTCTTCTTGTTTGCCTGCCTCGGCAACCTGACCTACGTCCTGTCCATCTTTGCCTTTGACGGCTGCAGTGGCCAGGTCCGCGCTCTCTGCACCCCCGAGGACGCCCGGGCGCGCTACGGCCGCTACCTGCTGGTGAACCTGTCGTGGCTCGCCGGCAGCCTGGGCACGCTGTTCCTCGACATGTGCATTTTTGTGCAGTTCTTCATCTACCGAGTGGAGGGCGCCGACGACTACGACGTCGAAGACGAAGGCCCCTACGACACGGATGCCGACGACGACGAGGTCGACCTTGACCTTGACGCAGTTGATGTCGCCACCGTCGACGACTCGGACGAGGAGCGGGACCAGCGGCCTCTTTTGCGTCGCAACTTGTCGAGTTACCATTAAACGTGGCCGGACCGTGACGATTTCTTTACTTTTCTTCATGTCTTTGATTTTGTTCAATCCTCTTTTATCATGGGCACGGTTCAGGTTTTTTTTTTTGCTTATCATTTGTATTAAATACAACAAAAAAGAGGGCGTTGGCATGTAAAAGCGATTTACTGGATGTTTTTATTATCCTTTTTTTTCATAATATCAAATGGCTCGTCAAATAGAGGCCGAGAACAAAAAAAGGAACGTCTTCTTCCTACTAACTAGAACCTACTGTCCAAGGCGCCCGGCATGTCACTATTTGCTATTTTCATAGCCATTAAAAAATAAGCATAAAAACTCTACCTTTCCAATTCTCTACTACTTAGGACACAAAGCCTCACACGTTGTGTCAAGAGTCGTGTGCGCCCCGCAATCGCCAAAAAACCAGCAGTTGTTCCACCTGTCGGATCGAATGACGTCAACGAGATAGATAGTTGGAGCATCGACGCCAACGACGAACAAAGCGTACCATAAAGACAACAATCACAACATTCTTAGAGACTAGTGGCCAGCACGCATAGGAGGACATTCAAACGAACTTTACTTCCATCATAAGCAACTTCTCGTTCGTAGCAACACGAGGCAAAACGAATATTTCGTACAATCTTTGCAAAAGCATTTCAACAACGTACCAAAACTCGTCCCGTCCTGCCCTAGAAAGAAAGCAAAAAAGAGTTAGAGCAAAGGGCAAAATGCAAAACGCAAGCCAGCCAAGCTTCTCCGAACGCATTCTCTCCCAACAGCAAAATGAATACGTAACAATAGCAGAACAAACTCGATCTCTCCCTGCAGCCTTGTTCCTTCCCTTTCCTTTGTATATAAACGCAACGAAAAACTACCGAACACAAAAAGTAATTTCACCATAGGTCATTTGTCAGTCATACAGCTCGGCTCGGCCCCTTTTCCGTCAAGGAAAGAGAGGAAGACAGCTGGTTCCTCGTCGTTTGAAGTCTATTTGCCCATGAACCGGAAAGTTTGAGGCGGCCAGCCGACGATAAAACGTAAAGGAAGGAAAAACAAAAAAAGGGAGGAGCCGAAAATATTAAAAATAAGGGACGCCCGTCCTCTCAACCCCGGAGAGCTAAAAGGAAACAGCGTGAGTGGTAAACGGTCACAACCAAGGTGGCCTCGTCATAGAGAAAACCATATATACCGCCCTATTTACAGGGAGACAAGGGGCTCCTCAGCCGAAACCTTGGGCGGCTGCGAATTTAGATCCACCTTGGGAGCGGTAGGGAAGTCGGTCTCCTCGTATCTCGTCACGGGTTCGGTCGTGGGGACAGACGGGGCAGTCGCCACGACCGCCGGAACGACGGTCACAGGCTTAGCAACCGGCACAGACTTGGAGGCAAAAGGCGCGGCCTTGGTGTCGGCGGGAGCCGGCTTGGAGGCAGCGGGTGTCGGGACAGAGACGGGAGCAGAACGGCCGCCAAGCAACTGCTGGGCCTTGGCCGTGTAGTCGCCCATGTACTGCTTCGTAACCTCGGTGGCATGGGCGGTGTGCTTGTTCGCAACGTCGCGGAGCTGGCTGGTCTGGGCGCCGACGAGATCAGACACATTCTTGACCTGGGCGTCGATAAGCTCCTTGTTGGTCTTGTAGATGAGCGGCGCGATGAAGGCGATGCTAGTGCCGATCAGAGCAAGACCCCAGTACGGCACGATCTTGACGAGGTAGTACGACAGGAAAGCAGCAACACAGGCAGCAGCGGACACAGCGACGTTCTCAGCGTAGACGATGCGCTGGGCCTCGATGACAAAGAAGTTGAGCAACTCGTGCACGTCGCCGAGAACATTGTCCAGCGCCTGGCGCGGGAGGGTGTAGTACGTGCGGGGGCGGATCTGGCTGGCAAGGCCCTTGTTCAGGACCAGCTTGCCCGCAGTCTCAGCGGCGACAGTGACGCCGAGGATCATCCACGTCAGCCTCAGACCCCACCGGATGACGTCGAGGTATCTGACGGCAAAAATAAAGGCCACGATCGAGGCATAGGCAATTCCGGAGGCGCCTACCCAGCGCTGTTAGCAGATGAAGAGCTCAAGTTGCATGTGCCGCAGTCGGTTTATGGGGTCCGTTGGATATACGTACGGGGGTTGTTCCACGACAGAAGTTCGGAAAAGAATGAGTGGTAGTGCGTCAGGGGCTGACCAGTGGCCGCGGGTGTTGACGGGGTCTGGCGGGCGTTGGCCAGCTTGTTGAACTCGCTTGAGGTCTTTGCAGCCTCGCCCTTGGCGGCGGTGGCAATAGGGCCTGTGGAAAAGAGACAAAACGTGTTAGCTGCACTGTTGGTATATGGCAGGACTCTGACTCAAACAAGGTGCGCTGCGTACCAGTTGAAAAAGTGTCATCTAAATAGAAGGGGAAGCTTTATCAGTACACGACAACAATCAAGGCAGCACGAAAGGGCTCAAACTGCAAAGGAGGACAACTATCCGGGCTTGTTAGCATATCGTCCATGAACATCGCATTGGGAACCGAAGCAGCATCGCGATGCGTGCAAACGTTGAACCTTATGGATAATACATACCTAACTCGTGACGCCACCGTTGGTGGAGTAACCGGCTGTGTCCGCCATAGCTTCGAGTGTGCTTGGATGTGCGGGAGACAAGGGAAGTCGAGAATCGAGTCCGACGATGGATGGTTGTTTGGAAGCTTCGAAAGCGGGCAGCGAGTCTGCAGAATCGCGTAGATGATTTGGAGGAGGAAGAGGAGCAAGAGAGGGGGTCTCTGGATGTGCTTGGATGTTCGTAGTTTCTTTTGTTTCAAGCCTGTGCCATTAAACCCAAATGGTCAATGTTAGCTGTTGCGCAAGACAGGAGGGGCTGTCGTAGCGAGGGGCGAAGTATTCTGTAGGTTGGTTCGGATAAGGGAGAAAATGCGCGGTTTCACTGGTGTGCAGTTGGGAGAGCAAAATAGGAGAAGCAGAAGACAGAAACAGGCGATGCAAGTCAAATGAAGGAGATCGTAGGAGGCAGAAGGCCGAAAAAAAAATGGGAATGAAAAGGGGGCCCAGCTTGGAAGGACTAGGGGTGGAAATAAAATGGTTTGAATGATGCAACAGTGGCCAAAAGCATTTTCTGGAGCTTCGTACTACCGCCCCCGATAGGAGAAAACACACGTCTTTCTCTATCTGCAGCTTAGGCCCTTGGCCCCGAAGAAGCAAATACCTCTCGGGACAAGATCGAGACAGCAAATGCAAGCTCTCTCGCGCTTGGATTGCTGCCTGCCCGGGAGGACCTCGCGTTCAGGCGACCTGGCCTTCTCTCTGTGGGAGCCTTTCTGACCCGATTTTTGCTGGGCTTGTGATGACGACGCACCAAGTGCAACTGGTTGTGTTGTTGTGCACACGGAATGGTCACACGGGACAACCGCACGCGCAGGAGACAGGGAGACAGTCAAAATGCGCGGGAGGATAGAGACAGACACGGGAAGAGTGGAAGTGCAAAAGGGGGTGGGTGGTAGCATGTGAGAGTAGCAAGTCACAGTGTGCCCATACGGGACGAGAAGCGTAGGTGCAGAACAGGAAGGAGAGCAAACGCAGCAAACACTGCAAACAAGCAAACAGCGTGGTAACTGACCTTGGTGTGGCGCTGATGATGCGGAGGATCGAGAGCAGCGTGGGAGCGTTGCAAGAAGACGGAAGAAATGATAAGGAGAAAGTGTGTATGAGGGAAGAAAAGAGGATTTTACTTTTGTATGACTAGGTTTTATCCAGAGAAAGAGCGAGAAGGAGCAAGGGAGACGAGGAAAAATAAAATAAAGCGAGCAGGAGGTGGGGAGACGAGAGACACGAGCAGGGAAGGAGAGACTGGCGATGGCCAGGTCCTCTTGTCTAGAAAGGGAAGGGACGAGCTACGCAGCAAAAGGTGATGTCAACTACCCAACTAAACTACATTGACGTCGTCACCGGCTTTTGGGTGGTGGAGGGTGGGCGCTGCAACGAGATGGAGACTACGGCCTATGCACAGTAAGGAACCACCGAGCTCATCGACAGCTTGCCCCTTAGTGCGCCTGTCCATTCTTCTGTGACGTCTCCTGCCTGTCAGTTTGGCTGTCCACTATGCGTTAGCTTGGTATCTAGGTGGCGACAGGTCGGGAAAAAAAAAGGCGAGAAAAAAGAGGCAACAAAGATGAAAGGACAAGCACAACGGCAAAAAGCTCGCCTTTGTTTCCAACCGGATTGACGGTTGATAGGCGTTGCTAGCCAGTAACAACCCGCTACTGTGGGTATCACTCAAGCCTGGGTGGGGCTGCTGAGCCCGCTTTTGGTCGCTGGGAGACCTGGACCGAATGTGCGACGCAGAAGGAAAGCACCATGTTTTACAGGCCTTTATTCTATATTTCGTACAGGCATCTTATCCGCAGGCCTGGTCTGTCTCGCCAGCCCCTATTGTTCGAATGGTCAATGGTTCGTTCTTCTACTGACTACAGCGACAAATTTACGCCATTTTACCTGCTGCACTATAAAATACTGCGCCGCACAGGAGCCGACAACTCATGCTTGCACAACTCGGTGCTCTGTGTCGTCATTTCCTTTCGCAACCATTTCAAGCTAAGGCGGCAGCTTGCATGTGATCCAGGCGTCTAGCCAGCACTAGCGCCTCTGCGGGATAAGACATCGCCTGGAATGCACGCGACCATTTGGACGTATCGACAGTCGGGCGACGGCTGAGACCGGCCACTTGTCAGACGGGCATTTTTGTCCTGGGATGGTCGTCCTTGGATAGTCGTCGTGAGACAGTTCCCCGGATGCAGAGGGATTGCGTGTCTTGCGTACAATGTACAATGAGAGTGCTACTGACTCCGCAGGGAAGAAGGACACGAGTGACAGAGTATATTATTAGGTATTGTATTTTATGTACTTTTCTGTCGTACGGCTCCAACGATGGAGTGTTCAAAAACGACAAATATTCCACGTATGTATGTACTTCGTGGGTGGTATCTATTGACGACAGGCAGTCAATAATGTGTACGTGTGTACGTATTTGCGCCGACCAATGCTATATGCTGTGTGTGCATGTGCCAATTTAGAGCAGATGAAAAGAAAGAAACCAAATAAGAAGTAGCAGCCTTGCCTTAGCCAGACCACATAACCAAGAAAGGAAGAATAAGAACACGGCTGTTACCGCCGTTGTTTTAGCGTCTCCAGCCGAAAAAGCCGTAGCCGGACGACGAGGTCGTGTTGGTGGCAGGTGCCGCGGCGGGTGCAGTGGCAGCGACGGCTTTTGTGCTGGTTGCGTGCGCGTTGCTCTCCGACATTGACGTGGTCAGCCTCCCCAGCACGCCCATGGCTGCCGAAGCTGCCGTGCTGGCCGCGGTGGCTGCCGTGGCGGCAGCTGCTCCGCCGCCCGAGTTTCTCGCATTGTGCAACATGGATGCCATGTCGTTTGCCGACAGGCCCAGTGCCTTTCGCAAGCTCTCGAGCTTCTGCTTCGCCTCTTCGGCCTCCTGGCGGGCTACAGCCTCGGATGTCTTGGCCTGGACAAGCTCCAGGACAAGAGCATCCTGCTGCTGCTCCATGCTGTCCTCGTTGCCGCTCTGGTAACTGCCCATGCCGCCACCAAAGACGGACTCGCGCCGTCCTGTTCCACGGACGATAAGTGACGACGACCGCTTGCCGTTGCCACCAAACATGGACAAGGCGTTGGTCGCTGGCGGCGGTCCTGTTGCAGCGGGCCCGGAAGCTTGTGTTGGAGTGGACTTGCTGCGTCCAAGCTTAAGCTCGCGCAGGCCCCCAGAAGCACCGGCCTTGCTAGGCGTACCGCCACCGGCACCAGTACCTGTAGCACGGCCAAACCATTCCGTCGCGGCATCGGCGATTCCTTGGGCACCCGTACTTTCAGCACCGCTGCTACTGGAGAGATCGGCACCATTGCTGTGCGTTATGCGCGCCGCACCGGCAGCAGCTGCGACCGCGGCAGAGGCAGCCTCGGAGGCCACCCGCGTCCGCAGGTCGTGGATCTGGCGCTCCAACCGCTGCTTGTCTTGGTGCAGCACACGAGCACGCGCATGGCTGTCACGCAGTTGGTCTTTCATGGTCGCCAGCTCTTGCTCCATCTCATTGACCTGCCGGTTGCGGTCCTGGCCCTTGGCAAGCTCGTTGACCAGCTGTTCCTTTGCGCGCCCGAGCTCGTCGCGTAGCTGGGACTTGGTCTGCGGCACCGACGACCGTCGGTTGTCAACCTTTGCAGAGAAGCGGGCTTCCACCGGCTCGAGAAGCGCAAAAAGCTCATCTTGAGGCATCGACAGCTCAATATCGGATGATTGTGTGGCTGTCGTGCTCTTGGATGCAACGGGGGTGTCGTCTAGTTCAGTTGTACGCAGCTGTACACCAAAGGTGACCGGCGCCTTTTTGATGGGCCCGGCTACCGTCTTCTTTGTACTCTTCTCACGCAGGTTACGTAGCAGGGTTTGCACTGCCTTCTGGTCGTCGCTGCGTTCCTCTCGTTCTCGCTGCAACTGGTCGGTGGTGAGAGCATGCTGGCGCTGCAAGTCGCTGAGTGCTGTGAGAAGGTCTTCGATTTGGCTGTGGAGATAACGGTCGTTGTCCGAGTTTTTGTTGTTGGCACTGTTGGAAGTCGATGCATTCTTGGCGGATGCGGTGATGTCTGAGGAAGAATCGCGCGAGAGTGATGTTGCGTCTGTCGAGGTAGAGCTTAAGACAGACGAAGAGGAGGAGGAGGTTGCGGAGGACGACGGACCAGCTGCAGGCGAAGCCGCCTCCATTGAATTGACAGTAGAGGCGATGCTGTGTTTTGATGAGCTCCGCTGCAGAAAGCTCAGGGGTCGCAGCGGCGGTGCGCTGAGGCCCGCGTTGAGGGTCAGCGGTTGGGTAAGGGGCGACAATGCGCTGGTCGGAGAGGCGAGGCCAGAGGAAGAAGCGAGGTCGTTGGTGGAGTTTGAGAGAGAGGGTGACTCGTCGATTGAAGGCGGCGGGTTAGATGCAGCCGCAGCTGCTGCGGTTATTGCCACAGGCGTGGATGAGGAAGAAGACGAGGATGTCCAGAGACGGCCCAAGAAGCGAGACGCTATAGTGCTAATGATTGAAGCGCGGTCCGCATTACTGCTAGCGTCGGTTTGGTTGTTGATATTGGCAATCTGTGCCTCGCGGTACGCTTGGTCAAGCGAAGCCAGCCGGTCTCTGCTGACCACATTGGATAGACTGAGGAAATGAAGCACAAACTCGTCTGCGTTGTAGTGGTAGCAGTCCCAAAGGCCTCGCGAGAGCAAAAGCTGGATAGCATCTTCAAGTTCTGCGCACGCTAGCAAACGGGCCTGGTTGTTCTGCATAAGTGACAGAGCCACCCGCATAATGGTCTCAGCCGCGCCTTCGGCAAAGACTACATCGTACATGCGAAACAGCATGGGCAGGGGGCACGTCACAGCGAAAAACGAGAGGAACCATTGTGAAACGTAAGCAGCGGGGTCTACCTGCAAATCTTCCAAATGGGACGACAATTCCGGCAGCGTGCTGCGCAGCAGTTCGCGGAATTGGTAGATTCGGACGTGCAACCCTGCCAGATCTGGCATGTAGGAGCTCCGTAGATCGTAGTTTTCCATGAGTCTGTAAAACGTGACGTTAGTATCAAAATGCAACGCAACACCATAAGACCATGCAGCTTATCAAAACCAACACTGCCCAATCCACCTACGACTGCGATAAACAAAATTCGCATCGTCGATGAAATAGACACAACGACAAGAAAAAAGAAGAAAAAACGTACTTGACAAGTACACAGAAAGCCTCTCTGTCTGGCATGTGCATCAAAAGCGGGCCAACAAGGAACGCGAGCCCCTGACAGTAGCCGATGCGCGGCTCGTGCAAGCTGTAGCTCTTCAGTACACGGCCCAGCATGCGTTGTCCGTCTCCGTCGGGTTCGCGGAACATGTCTACACCGGGGAAGCTGCGGCCGAGATCTTTGCCAATGATGCCCTCATAGGGACTGGTCGCGTCACAGAATCGCTCGTATTGGTCGAGCAGCGCTGCGTCGCGTGTCGCACCGGTCATGCCTTGCCAAACAACACCACGCAACGGAGGTGGGATACCCTTGCGTATCTTATTGGACAGTAATGTTGGTAGACGAGCGGCCGTCTGGTGGTAGTCCTGGACGAGGGCCGCGTAGAATTCAAGATCGGTCATCGGCGGTGGAGGCAGCATCGAGTAGCGTAGTGCGGCGGGTGTAGGCCCCTGGACCATATCGCGGAGCTGAGCAACAGAAACCGGACGAACGCGGCGCGGCGACTGCTGCGCGCTGTCACGTACTTGAACCCGGATGCTTTTGGGATTTGTCGCGAGCTTTGCGTTTTCTTGTTCGAGTCGTGCAAGGAGCATGGCAGTCTGTACACAAAATGTTAGCAGAAAAGGACGGACTGACGGTCGAGGAGAGACATGGTCGTACATTATCGGAATTTTGTCCATTGGACTCCTCGTTTTCGGTTTGCTGAAGCTGCTCCCAGTTCACGTCCTCGTCGTCCTCGCTGCTGTCATCGCTGTCTGACTCGTTCTCGGCCACTGTGGGCATCGTGGCTCTCTGGCTCCGTGCCATGGTGGGTGTAGACGGTCTGGCGTCCTCGGCCGCTGCCCCTGTGGACGCTCCAGACGCTGTGCTGTGCGTGTTGATACTCAGAACGGGCGGCTCGGACAGGCGGACTGTAACCAACGAGTCGTGTTCGTCCAACCGAGGAGCAACACCGGGTGCGGTGTGGTCCTCAGAAGCGCTTTCTGTGGTCACCATCTCGTCGTCGAGCTCCTCTGCGGGTTTACCGGGTATTAATGGAGATGTGGGCTCATGTTGTGTGTCGTCTGCGGAGTCTGCGTCGTCTGTGTCGTCCGAATCGGTTGGCGATGCATCTGTCGAGTCGGAGGGTGCTGAGGCTGTGGAGGCAGACACGTTTTGTGCGACGGTGGCGTTTGGAGCCTCCTCTTCTTCATGTTCTTCCGATTCTACTTTCTGTACTGCTTCTGGTGTGACATCAGGGACGCTGTGTTCGCTCCTAACGGCCACCTCCAGGTCATGCTTCGTTTCTGGTGTGGACGTCCGGTCCCCGGCTGCGGTGTCGGCGTCCATGTTGAGCATATCGACACGACCGTTGGACGTGAGGTCGTCGGTCGTCGAGTGAGTCGTACACAAAAGCTGCAAGAGCCGCGAGTGTTCTTTTCACCCTAATCAAGTTGCCGGTACAAGAATCGCGTTTGTTGGTTCAAGGGCCTTCGTCCCCCTTACCTCCCCTCAAATGCCTGCGCGAGCAGCAATGTGCATCGAGGGCCGAAGGGAGAAGGGAGAGAGGACAGCGTGCGGGTAACAGGGAGACAAGCCCTGGTGCTGCACTAAAATCCCAAACAAAAATGGTTCTGGTGTCGACGTCCGATATGGCCAGAAGCGGCCCGGCGAGAACGATACCAACGGCGAATCGTGATTGTTCGCTGTCGTGCTGTGAAGCAAAGTATCGTGCACCGTATGGGCTGTGTCGGATGGGCCACAAATCGAACAAAACAACCACACCGTTTAGGACGCCTGGATGAACGCGGCGGAGACGAGAAGCGTATGTCGTGCGACTTAACAAAGTCGTATTAAGGTGTCGTACGGAAAGTGGTAGGACGTTTAAAGGGGGAGGTTCTCTATGCGTGTTCCGCTTGAACTGAAACTGAGACGGCGGAAAGCGACTAGACGATGGCCCGAGTTCTGGCGGAATGGTGAGAAAGAAAGTGAAGACAAAGCAATCAACAAAGAGCTACAATGAGGGACACGAGAATAGAAAATTTCACACCATGAGGAAGGAAAGAGCAAAGGACGAAAACCCAAATCAGACTGAAAGAACTACCCCCTGGTCGGCAGGAGAAGCGGAGGAAAGTCAACGAAGAAAATGAGATAGTCAATATGGGGCAGGGAAGGAGCGATTGTGAGGTTGTTCCCGCCTTCGCGTGTCCAATGGGGCGGTCGCAATGGAGCTACTAATTACTGTATGCAGCAAGAGCTCATTTAACGATGGAGAGGAACTGCAGAGCGGGGGCCAATAATAGCAGGGTGGGAGGAGGAAAAGGGGTGTGTGAAGGGCTCTTTGAAGCAGTGGGAAGGGTAAAGAGAGCAGTCAGAGGCAAAAGGGAAGGCACGACCATGCACAGGAATGCAGGCACCGGCCACCACGGAGCACTAAACTACCGCTAGCTAAGACTTCCAGGGGCCATCTCACGCGCCGATCTCACTCTACTTCGTATGCCTGCCCGGTTGGTCCAAGGCCTGGCCACAGCGGACTCTCGTACATGTCAGATACACGGGTGATTTTCTTGTCCTCTGTGTCGTAGTGGTCATGTGTGCTGTTGTGGTCTAGCCTTGCTATCCCAGCTTTTTGGGCCGCGCCTGCCTGTCATTGGATTTTGGGCTTCCTGCCATTTCCCATATTCATGCAGGAACAAACTAAAATATGCAGGCAGGATCTGGTGTGTCGCATCGTTCTTGTCTTTCGTGTTAGAAAGAGCAGGCTGCTAGAATACGGCCCTCCACTGGCAAAACAGAAACGGTGAAGAAATTGCAGGACACAACTGTCACCCAAGATGTTTGCTGGCCACCTCGCTCCTCCCCCCGAATGCTCAGATCAAGCACCCTGCTATTGTCTGTTGCGCGTTTCGATTTTCCATACGACGGAGTGTTGTCAGACGCTACGACGGCCGACCTGGATGGAACGGCACATTCTTGTTGGTGGCTTTCGGAAGTTCAGCCTTCTGCTAGGAGCGGGTTGGCCCCGTTGGGTCTGGCGAGCCTGGCTGGGCGGCTACGGAGTGCCAGACTGTCTTGGTTCACCTTTGTGGTATGACGAGGAACGTTCGGGACTGTGTCGCTTTTGTGACGTTCTTTTTATTTCCTTACCCCTGAAGCTAGTGCCGTTGTTAGTGGCGCGTTTTGCCGCAACGCGACTTTAGTCTCTAACGACTCCACGGGAGGCAAGAGTCACCAGCCTCCAACACGCCGGGAGCGGGGCAAGCGCCGCTGCATCCTCCACAGGCATCTACACAAACACTGAATACGACGAACTAAAATAAAAAGAATACAAATAATGTAGAGAAAAGACTCGCGCTCTTTTCGTATACGTATACGTAGATGCCATGGCGAGGCCGACAGAAATATCCAAATTGGCCGAATCTATTCCTTTCATACGAGGATGGCTCCGAGACGACTCCAAATACTGCATACCATAAGGTGGGCTGTCGTGAGATATTGACCTGTAATGATACTACCAAGCCTTCGTCGTTCTTCAATGGACAACAATAAACCAACTGTCCAGACGGAGAGACAATGGCAAAACAAAAACGTACCAAAAAAGTACACAAAAATATACCATACAACGCCAGAAACAAGAGAGATACCACAAACACGCGCACGCACGCAGACAACTACATAAATACACAATATGGCCCGCCCTACGCCATAGGTATGCCTTGCTGCGCACCGGGTGGCCCTTGCATCATGCCCATCTGCGGGGTGCGGTGCATCGGCGGGCTGCCCTGGTTGACGCCGTGCGGTCCTGGCGTGCTACCCGGCCCTGCCCGGTTGTTGGGAGCACCACCAGCCTGGTTCGGCTGGTTCGGCTGGGTGGCAAAAGCGGGCTCCCGTGTGTAGTCGATTCCCGGATAGAAGCTCTGCAACTTGCCATAGAGTTCACGAATGTACTTGAGCCGCTCCTCGCGGTCGCTGTTGGGGTCCTGGTCCGTCTGCTGCGCGGCAGGATCAGCTCCAGCCGGCGGCGGCGGTGGCGGTGCCGGGCGAAGACGGAAGGTTAGACTGAGACTCGGCGCGCTCAGGAAGCTGGGACCCTTGGCGGCGTTGGCCGTCATTTTCCTGTCGGCTAAGCTTGCGAGGTACGCCAGGTTGGATTGGATACGTTTCATACATCTGTGCACGGTTAGTGGTTGCTTCGTATAGAGACGAGTGCTGGGGGCAAAGGTAAAACGCACTGAATGTAATCCGCCCGCACAAGCTTTTCCTCCTCGGACACGGGCTCTGTCGTCTCGCTGGGCTGTTCCTCAACACCGGCCTCCGCAGCGTGCTCCTTCTTCAGTGCAACCTGGGTGCTCCGGAGCTGGATCGACTCATAGAGAAGTTCTTGGTTGATGTTCAGCAGCACAGTGAACAGCTCCTTCTCGCGAGATTCGCTGCCGGGACTGAGCGGCGGGCCTTGTGTGGCGCCAGTGCCGTTAACAACGGGGCCACCAGAGCCCGGGAATGTCGGTGTCTGGGGGGTGGATGCGCCGGGTGGCAGGCCGGCCGAGAGCGGTGGCTGAGGGCCGTTCGGGTGCTGCGCGTTAGGCGGCCCGTGGGGGCTCGGCATCGCGTTGAAGGGCTGTTGCTGCTGCTGCTGCTGCTGCTGTGGGTGAGGTGGCTGAGGTTGATGCATCTGTTGAGGGTGGGGAGACTGGTGCGGCGGCATCTGCTGATGTTGCAATTGTTTTGGGGACGGAGTCGGCATGTGTTGCTGGGATGGTGTCGGAGGTTGTTGTGGCGGTTGTTGTTGTTGCGGACTTTGGACATGTTGAGGGTGCTGAGGAGGCTGCATATGTTGAGGGTGTTGGGGGTGCTGTTGAGGATGCTGATGAGGATGCTGAAGTTGCTGATGCTGCTGCTGCTGCTGTTGTTGCTGCTTGTGCTGCTGCTGCATTTGCTGTTGCATCTGGATCTGGTGCTGCTGCTGCTGTTGGATCTGCTGCTGCTGCGACATGGGCATGCCGGACAGAGGGCTGCCCTGTTGCATGGGATTGAATGGCCGCTGCGGTGTGCCCATGCCACCAGGACCTTGCTGCGGAGGCTGCATACGTTGTTGTTGCTGCTGCTGCTGCTGCTGCTGTTGCTGCTGTTGCTGTTGCTGTTGCTGCTGCATAAACACTTGCTGTTGCTGAGGCGTCATTGGGAACCCAGGCATCTGGCCCGCGACGGCCATCATGTTGAAATTCGGCGGCATCTGCGGCTGGCCGGCGCTCGCCGGCATCCCTACACCGTACGGCGAGCCGGTAAATGGAGCTTGGTATCCCACTGCAAAAACGTTAGAAAGATGGAGCAGGACAAGCTACCACGCGGGGCACCCATCGTCAACTCACTTTGCCCATTCACTCCCATTTGCGGCATGCCGGGGCTTGGCATCATTCCACCGGGTCCCGGCGTGCCCATCATATTCGGGTTGCCGCCGCCTTGCATAAATGGCGACTGACCGCCCGGCATGCCAAACTGCTGGGCGTACATCATCTGCTGTTGCGGCTGCTGACCCGGCATGGAGCCAGGCGGCATCTGCTGCTGTGGTGGCGCCTGCTGGCCTGGCTGCTGCATCTGTTGTGGAGGGGGCGTGTTAAAGGCGGCCGGCCCGCCTTGGTTGGGAAAGCCGTAGGGTGGTTGGTACATGGCTGTTGATCTGAAAAGGAGTTGAGGGTTAAGGGGTGGAAGAGTCGGCAGACGGGAAAATGGGCGAGATACGAAATGCAAGAGGCGCACGATGTGAACCGCGAGCGGGTGTGGGTCGTTCGAAAACCCGTCGAAAGACAGAAAGGTCCTAGGGCGTCGGCAGATATGAATAAGCCAGAGGGACAGCGCGGGTGTGTGTCGTCGACAGGCTAATGCGAGATGCGCTGATGCGGGTAGTCGATCGGACTTTTGCAGCCCTGGGAAAGCTGGGTGTCGGTAACCAAGAAGCGCGAAGCGCATAAGCAATGGCAGATGCGATTGGGAGCCTCGAGGGTCAGGTGACAATGACAGGCCAAGCAGGTGACAGGGCGCCAGGCCACGAGATGGGGAACCGGGTGGATGGTGATGGGGTGATGGGGAGATGGGGGTTGGTGTGGTAGGGAGGATGTGGACACGAGAAATGTAAGAGATGCCTGGATCCAGGTCTACGGTGCCGTGGGAAGGAGGGATGGATGACGCCCGCGGGCGAAGAAGGGAGGAGAGACGGGCGTGAAACGGGAAGGAGAGATGGGAGGCTTGCGTGAACGAGAGACAAGAGCGATTATGGAGGTTGAATGCGAAAGCGAAAAACGCGTCCCACAACAGCGCAGGCAGGTACGGAGCACAAGCGACTAGGCAGGAGCGAGGCAAAAAGGCAAGGGAAAACAGGACAAAAAATATGCGCGGAAAGAGACAGGGCGTAATGCCGGTGCAGCGCGCGGGGATGGTGACAGAAGGCTCTCTTGGTGTGGAGGTTTCGTGGTGGCAGGAGCGAGACACGAATTGGCAAGTGCGAACGAGGGAGAGGCAGCGAAGCAGAGGCGTACTAGCGCTGGCTGGGCTGGATGAATTTTCGCGCAGGCAGCCCGTTTTTCCGTCGCCGCGTTGACTGTTCGCAAGCAGTGCGCCTGCGAATCAGAGGGCAGGCGCAAGAAGCAGGAGATGGGAAGTGAGCCAATTGCAAGCGTAACAAAAGCGGGGCTGCTGCGACTCCAAACGGCAAGTACATTGTAACACAGACGAACCATCATAACGAGCAAGAACAGTTATTGTCCAACCCCGTTTTGTGCATCAGTTTATTCTCTACTTCCTACTGTTATCTTTTAGCTACAGAGTACTCTCCCAGCACCTATTTTACCGCATTTTGTTTCCATTTTCACGACTGGTACGTCGTGCCGTACTTGGACACGCCAGCCACGACGTCCAAAAACGTCTCCGCAATGACAGAGTCAGTCTTGGGCGAGGGATGCAACTCGTCGTAAAACATGTAGTTATCGATTACGCCCGCGGCATCCGTGCAGTTATGCGAGCTGGTGGGCTCGCAGTGGTGGAAGTAGCCGGTGCTGTTGGCCGGCGCCTCCAAGAATTCGGACGGGTTGTTGTAAATGTCGGTCAGGAGCTGGTGGGTGTTGTAGATGGACACGGAGGCGCCAAGCCAGCGGCGGCGCACGAGAGCGTGGAAGGGCACACCGTAGTCGAAAATGGTGTTGATGGTGACGGTGTACTCCAGGATCTTGTTGGCATACTCGGTCTCGTTGTACAGAGACTTGTTGCCCCAGTACTGGTGGTCGCCTGCGCCGCCGGCACTCTGGGGGCGGTACGTGGGTACGAGCTGCAGCGGTGCGAGGTTGAAGAGGACGATACGGCGGCCGCCGGCGGCATAGATGCTGTCCAGCACGGAAAAGACGCAGTCCACATAGGTAGTAATGTTGGTGCCAGCCGTCTGCGCGTCGTTCAAAAAGGCGCCAAAGCCAATGTCGTTGGTGCCGATCCACAGGGCGTACACAGTGTTGTCGGCGGTGCGGTTCTGGTACAGCGAGTGGCTTCCGGAAGTGTCCTCCTGGAACGAGGGAATCTCATCTTCAAGGACGGAGGGGAAGGTGCGGTTGATGTTCGAGAAGTAGCGGGGGGTGATCTCGTTGGAGCAGACGGCGCCACCGACGGCGTAGTCAAAGAAGGCGAGGCCGGGTGCACTCTGCTGGACATACTGGCCCCAAGTCAGGCCGCCGCTGGGCGTGACGTTGGTCTGGGGGGAAAGAGTGCCGGGAGGCGGCGGCTTGCCTTGGTGTGCGATGTAATAGTTGAGGCGGCCGTTGTCCGAGTAGCTGTCACCGAAGGCGACGAGATTCTCGAATGAGTTGCAGGCAGCGGAAATGAGGCCGCTGCTTGCGGCCGCCGCAAGAAGACTCTGACGGATCCGCATGTTGACTTGCGTGGTGAAAGGTGCGTGAGAGAGCTAGGGAAAAGTACAAAGGAGAGGGGGAACAGGGTAGAAAGGCCGAGAAATATATGAGGATGGTGAGGTGATGAGCGAGACGAGACCAATGGGAAAAAAAGGAAATGAGCAAAACAAGCAAACAGCCAAAGAACCCGTCACAGAGGATGCCAAGAGGATCAACACGGGACGATGCCCATATTATAACCCTGCACACGGGATACTGCTCGTGTATATTAGAGGATTAAGGAGGGATATTCTTGGCCTGGAAAGCTTCACAGAACCTGTGCATTCAACCGGACTGGGGTTCCTCACTCATTGCATCTATTGGGAATGGTCTCCCGGGAATAGCGGATGAGAGCGAGGAGAGACAAGATGACAGACGGAAAACAAAAAAAATGGCCAGAAAGCATAGACTACAACGGTTGTGCTGTAGCACTTGGTCGCAAGTTGTAGTCGGACAAGATGCCGAGATGGACGGCAGGCGGCTTGTACCCGCAGGAACAAAGCGCCAGACTATTCCAGGTTTTGAAGGGAGGAGCCCGGGAACTTGCAGATATCCAACTTCCCACTCGCTTCGAGATCCGTCCAGCCGTCTTTGTATGTAGGTGCACTGCTGGAAGCTCGCACACAAGTGTAACAGAGGCTCAGAAAGCTCGAAGATCGACAACCCGACGTCCGTCGGGACACGGGCTGAATGCGGGGAAATAACAGAGCACTGTTGATGTTGACGGAAGGGCGGGGACCAGATAGTGCCGTCGAGGATGCATGCGGCTGTTGTCTGTGATGAAGGTGTGAGCTACGCCGAATGTTGAAAAGCTTGTGCGGGAGACCGAGGGCCTGTCAAAGCGGCAAAAACCCACGAGGCCCCGAGGCACAAGTGCACAGTCCGCACCGCGACAGTACGCGAACCATAATACGATGTCAACAATCGGAGCCAAAGCTTGACTGCTTGAAGCTCGCGCGGCCAAATGGCGCGGTAAACGGGACGGCAAGCCGTTAAACAGCGGTAAACGGTGCTCTTAGCCAAAGGTTCCGTCCAAGACGTGACCCAAGCAGCCAAATACAAGCATTGTCTTCGCTGTTCGTCTCTTGTTTCTTCTCTGCTGTGGTGTTCCCCTCTTCACCTCGTCTTGTTATACTCGACGATCGTCACCGTTAGCGCAATCTCCTCACCGGATATCAGCCTGAATTGCTGAACAGAGCTGCCGCCCGCCCGACTGTCACGGTTACACTGCAGCGGGTCTGGACCGTGCTGTTAGAACCAGATCGTGAATTCGGCAATCCAGGGTGATCCCCGCTGCTGTACAAACGTCTGGCTGTCGCCTCGAAAGGGGATCGACAACAAACTCCTAGCCGGTAGTTCCATCGAGAAACGAACACGCCAGGCCGATGATTGACAGAAGCTGTGAAGTCGGAACATACGACGTCAATGGCAAGCTGTTGTGCTCTTGCGCTAGTGTCATATTGTAACTGTATCTGAAGGTGGGATGAAGCATTGACATCTGGAGTGCATGTCTGAGTTGAGAGACTGTGTGTGTTGTTTTGTTTAGTCCAAAACAAGCTTACCCGCAGAATGGAATAAGGAATAGCTGAAGGGAGGTGGCCACCTACCGTCGTGCCTTCCTTTCCCGCTCCTGCCCTGAGGAATTGGCGAATGACGTTGGCGGCAGGCAAGTGCGATAAGATAGGGCGACGAAGAGGGCAAGCAGAGTCATAGGGCTCTCTGGGCAGGAAAGAGCCCCCGCTATCGGCGGATTTTGGCAGCCAAACAGCCATCCGCGGACTATCCGTTTTTTGCAGACTTTTGTTTGAGTGACTCAAACGACCACAACAGACGACGACCAGACGACGACCAGACGAGCAAAGACTCATCGTAGTCGGTACACAAGCGCACCTCAACTTAGCGAAGCACCTCTATAAGTCGACAACAAATTCGGAGAACTGAAAGCTGAGAGGGGACCCGATCGACCGACAGCCATAGTCTCCTCCCGGCACATCTTAGCGACTTGACACTTCCAATATCCTCCACATCGCCCACCATGTCGCCGGCCTTCAACCTCCAAACGTGCGCGCGGCCAAACATCCTAGCCCTCGAACCGTACCGCTGCGCAAGAGAGTGAGTTCCGACGCACTTTTTGCCCCCCCCCCCCCCCCACCCCAATCGCCTTGATGTTTTCTAACATGCTTTCTAGCGATTACAAGGACGACGGCTCCAATGTGCTGCTCGATGCCAACGAGAACGCCTATGGACCACCACTTGGCGCCGGCTCCGCCTCCTCCTCTCTCGCCGCCGAGGCCGAGGCGACCGGTCTTGATCTGCTCGGCCTCCACCGCTACCCCGACCCCCACCAGGCCGATCTCAAGCAGCAGCTGTGCACGCTGCGCAACACGCACGCCCACACGGCCAAGACGCTGACGCCCGAGAACCTGTTTGTCGGCGTCGGCAGCGACGAGGCCATTGACGCGCTGCTGCGTTGCTTCTGCGTGCCGGGCCGCGACCGCATTCTGGTGTGTCCGCCCACGTACGGCATGTACAGCGTCTCGGCGCAGGTCAACGACCTGGGCCTCGTCAAGGTGCCGCTGACGCCCGCGCCCGCGTTTGGCGTCGACGTCCTGGCCGTGCTGACAGCGCTCACGGCGTCCGTTTCGGCGAGACACTACGACATCAAGGTGGTGTACCTGTGCTCGCCCGGCAACCCCACGGGCAGCGCGCTGCGCAAGGAGGACATTGCCCGCGTGCTGGGACACGCGACGTGGAATGGCATTGTCGTGGTCGACGAGGCGTACGTCGACTTTGTGGCCGACCAGCACAGCGCGTCGCTCGCCGAGTGGGTGCTCGAGTGGCCCAACCTGGTGGTCATGCAGACGCTGTCCAAGGCCTTTGGCATGGCCGGCATCCGGCTCGGCGCTGCGTTCTGCGCGCCGCCCGTCGCCCGCCTGCTCAACGCCTTGAAGGCACCCTACAACATTGCCAGCCCCACGAGCGCGCTCGCCCGCACCGTGCTGGCCGCCGACGGGCTGGCCGCGATGGCCGCCAACCGCGCGAAGCTGGTGGCCCAGCGCGACCGCCTGGTGGCTGCGCTCCCGCAGATTCCCGGTGTCGGCCGGCTCCGCGGCGGCACCGACAGCAACTTTTTGCTGTACGAGATGCTCAACAAGCAGGGTGAGCCCGACAACGCGACGGCGCTCGCCGTGTACACAAAGCTAGCCGAGCAGCGCGGCGTAGTCGTGCGGTTCCGCGGCAAGGAGCACGGCTGCCTGGGCTGCCTGCGGATTACCGTTGGCACCGAAGACGAGGTGACAAGGTTCCTGGAGGCGCTCAAGACAACGCTGGCTGAGGTCAGAGTGTAAGAGAAGCAAATATAGATTTGAGTTTCTGCAAGCGTTTGCATTAAAATGCATTGTGCAATTTCTTTATTTTTTCGGTTTTATTTTGAATAATTGAATAATTTGAATAATTTTCCCTTATTTTTGGATATCTCATTTCGCTCTGTATCCATTGTTCATGTACATGTACCTGCATCCGAACGATGCCCTCCTAATAGCTCTTTGGCAAACCAAGGGCCTTTTCGGCGACAAAGTTGCGAATCATCTCGCGCGACACCGGCGCCAGCCGCGGCACCAGACTCTCGCGCAGGTACCGCTCGACATGGAACGCCCGCGCATAGCCCATGCCGCCCATGGCCAGGACCGACCGCTCGCACGCCTGGAACGCCGCCTCGGCCGCCAGGTACTTGGCCATGTTGCACGCCACGCCCAGGTGCGCCGGCAGCTTGCCCTCGCCCTGTGCCGTGTACGCGTCGTACTGCGCCGCCGCGCTGTACACGACCAGCTTGGCCGCCTCCAGCGCCATCCACGCCTCGGCCAGCGGGTGCGCCACGCCCTGGTACGCGCCCACCGGCTTGCCAAACACCACGCGCTCGCCCACGTAGGCCACGGCCCGCCGCAGCGCCGCGTACCCGAGCCCCAGCGCCTCGCCGCCAATCAGGCACCGCTCGGCGTTGAGCCCGTGCAGCACGATGCGGAAGCCCTGGCCCTCGGCGCCCACCAGCGCGCCCGCGCCGTCCTCGACTTCGTAGTTGTCAAAGAAGACCTCGTTGGCGTCGACGGCGCGGCCGCCCATCTTGGGAATGGGCTGCAGCGACAGGCCCGGCTTCGTCGTGTCCAGCGGGATGCACAGCAGCGTCAGCGCGCCGTCCACCGTGTCCGCGTCGCCCGGGCCCGTGCGCGCCAGCAGCACCATGCGGTCGGCCACCTGCGCGGACGAGATCCAGATTTTCTGGCCCGTGATGCGGTACGCAAAGCCGCCGTCCGGCCGCTCGATGCGCTCCGCCCGCGTGCGCAGCTTGCGCGTGTCCAGGCCGGCGTCCGGCTCCGTCACGCCAAAGCACGTGCGCCACTCGCCGGAAATAATCTTGGGCAGCCAGGCGGCGCGCTGCGCGGGCGTGCCGAAGCGCGACAGCGGCTGGGTCGCGTAGACGTTGGCGTGGATGGACTGGGCCCCGGCGAACCCGGCGCCCGACTCGGCAATGGTCTGCAGCATGGCCACGGCCTCGGACAGGCCCAGGCCGACGCCGCCGAGCTCTTCGGGCAGCGCGATACCAATGTAGCCGGCGTCGGCAATGGCCTTGTGGAAGTCGCGCGGGTAGGTGCCAGTGTCGTCTCGCTCGGCCCAGTATTCCTGGCAGGTCAGTACAAGGCACCGTTTTTTTGTTAACCTATTTTCACACGACCCAACGTACGTCGGGAAAGTCAGCGCAGACGCGGAAGACGGCCTCGCGCACTTGGCGTTGGGTCTCGGACAGACAGCTGGCGTCCATGAGACTCAGCCGGGGGTCAGAGGCCGCATTGCCGCCGGCCGAGGCCATGCTTCGACGACCAGAGACAGCCCAAGCCGGTGAGACAGCTCTCCGTAGTGGTTGACACGACCGGGCAGAGGCCAGCCGGAATGCCGCACATCGGACGACAGCGCCAACAGGAAATGGTTTGAGAAACGACATGGCGGCGGCGGGAGGTAGAACAAGCAAGAGGATGTGTCGCAATCGTTGTCAACGTGGACAAGATTGGACGACCTTTGCGAAACAAATAAAGAAAAGGAACAGCTCTGACTCGAGTCGGCGTTTTGCTCCGAAGTCGTCTTGCTGTCGTGAGGGGGCCATTTACGCAGAAATCATAGCCTCGGCGACTAAGACAAGCGATGCCCCAAATGGGCGTGTAAGACGACTGGATTACTCCTAACAAGTTCAGGGCGGATCAGGCCGCGGCACAGCGCTATGCATCGCTAAATCCCTTGTAAGTCGCCCATGACTGGTGCAGCCGTGGCGCTTTTCGGGGACCATACCGAAGCTTTTGTTCCCACGCGAGCTCTTCTCCGCATTTATTTGATATAGCCGACTAAGACGAATTTTCCCCATATGGCAAGTGACATATGACGGACGCCGTCTTAGTTTATCATGGATTGTTGTTTTGAGACTGATGCTGCTTGGTATATGCTGCAGAGTTTATCTATTTGAATCCTGGCCGACGAAACGGTGATTCCGTGATGCCGTCCACACGTTTTCTAAAAACCCAAATCTAAAAATGACACGCGGCAGGACTACCTTCGTTTGTGCAAGCAAAGACCTATGCCTGGCGCGCCCCAATGTTTCCCAACTCCTTGCTGGTGAAGACAATATGCATAAGTGACATCGGTGAAACGAAACGCAAAAAATAAAATAAAAGACAAGACAAAGAGCGGGTTGACAACATTTGGCCCCCAAAACAGCTATGCCATGCCGTAGGCAAACAAGGCACAGGCCATGCTGACGACCGTCCACCGCAGGTCGATGTGCGACATTCCCCGCGGGCTCGCGTTTTTGGTTTTGTCTCCCGAGGGCGACGGCGCCGGCGCCGGCGCCGTTGGCGAGGGTGACGGCGGGGGCGCTTGGTCTATGCCCAGCACCTTGTTGAGCCCCAGGAGGCCCTGCACCGTCTCGAGCGCACACATCTCTTGGCCCAAGCCCACACTTCCGTCGAACCCGCCGACGTACCACTTCTGGCCGCATGTGGTGCCGTTTTGCGTCGGCGCTCCGTCAATGTTGGCGCCCGTGCAGGCCTTACCAGCAGCCGTGGCCGAGGCGCGCATGTAGGCGGTCACGTTGGGCGCCAGCGACGGAAGCACCTGGACGGCCGAGTACATGAAGCGGGACAGGAATCCCTTGAAGGTCTTCATGTCCTTGGTACAGGTGCCGACGCCCTCGCACGCGTGCTCCCACATGATGTTGGTCGCGTTCTTGTCGGGCGAGAAGAAATGACGGGCCGCGTCCAGCAGGCCCTCGGCACGCGTCTTCCACACGGCATCACCCGTATGATTGGCTAGCACCGCGGCGCCGTACAGGAAAATGCCGTTTTGGTACGAGAAGCTGAGCAGGTTGATCTGCGTGCAGTTCGTGGCCGAGTCGGTGCCGTCATACACGTTGTAGTGCTTGTCAATGATGCCGACGGCGTCCGTCCAGTCCCACACCTTTTGGGCCCAGTCGACGTACGTCTTGTTGCCAGTGAGCAGCGCCAGGCGTGCGGAGATGAGGAAGAAGCCGCCGTTGCTCGCCGAGTTCTTGTAGTTCATGCCGTTGAAGTTGTCCGCGTAGATCTGCCACGTGAAGCCGCCCGCACACTTGGTCGTGTTCCAGCGCACGACCATGTTGTTCCACACATTGATGCTCAGGTCCAGCCAGCTGGGCACGCCCTTGGGCGTCAACTCTGCGGGCTGCGTAAAGTTGTGCTCCGCAGCAGTGAGCACAGTGAATCCCCAAAAGGCCTGGTCGTCGTTGCCCTCGTCGAGTTCGTGGGCCGGCACGATAAAGTCGTGGGCTGGGCCGGTGTTTTGCAAGATGGCCGTCGCAACAATGTCGTCGTACGTGGTGTCGTTGGTGTAGTACGAGTAGTCCAGCATCGCACCCATCAATGCACCGGCTTCCCACCAGTAGTATGGGTCTGGCAAGTCAGCAAAACTCTGGGAAGCGGAAGATGTTAGCAAGCCGTACGATTACTGTGACGTTCAATTTGAAGTGCATCCCCGTATCGAGTTTTGCGCGGGAAGGGGGAGGGGGAAACTGAGAGAGACCACGTACCGATGCGTTTCCAGAGTAGTACGACATGGCGCCCTTGGCCAGGGTGTTTGCAACCCCAATGATGGAATCTGGAGTTTGTCAGTGACTTGCAGATGATGTACGACGTAGCACAGAGCCACTTTGGAGGCAGTGACAAATGTAAACTGTCGTCCTCGTCGATCGGACGGGCCGGGGAACGTACCTGTTTTGTTAACGGACAGATCTGCCGGCGCAACGGCGTCGGCAGCCGCCACGACAGCCGCCAAAAAGGCCGCCTTGACCAACAACATGATTGCAGTGCTGTTTTTGACGTTCTTGAAGAGGATGCAGAACCAAGAGAAGGAAAGACAGATGCCGATGGCGGCAGTGGATGGAGACGGAGAAAAACGATCGGGGAAGACTAGAGGAATGCCGGAAGACTGGCGGTAGGAACGCTGCCGTTTTCTGGGGCCACGACGTTCCAATTGTCGTTTCTATTCGCCGAGGGTGATCGATTGCCAAAGACAAAAGAGAAACATCAATGACGAGTAACAAAGATGGAGAGGCAAAGAAAACAAGATTGTCGTAATCTTCAAATAGCTGTTTGTTATCCAAGATAAAGGGAATAATCAGGTTCCACCAGGGAAGGAAGAGAAAGTAAAAGGAAAAAGGAATAAGAAAGCAACGAGGGAAAAGAAGTGGAAATGAAGACGAGAAAATACACAAAACCAGAAAACAATAAGCTGTTCTTGATCCAAGAAGTGACACGGCCAAAAAAGAAAAGGAAACGGGGGAACGAGGGACGAGGAAAACGCAACGGGAGTGGAATACGAGAAAATGACGCCTCAAAACAGACTAGGGGCGTAGCTTCCTTCGTATGCGCCGTGAGGTGAGCAAGTGGGACCGGTGGACAGACAACGGCGGGAGCGACCCAGAAGCGACTGAACAGAGAGTGACAAAGAAGGAAGGAAAGAAAATGATATGATGGCGGCGAGAATAGCAAACGGGAAAGAGCCAGCGGACCCGAACGTTAGAAATGATGGGAAGGAAGGCACGACGTGCGAGGCCAAGCGAGGCAAACCGCCCTTGCAAGGGAGCGGCCAAATATAGATGCTGAACAAAGAGGACGACAAAACACAAAGAGACCGCTCAGGTACCGATGCGCAAAACACACCCCAAATCTCGAACCAACCGAGCTGGCGTGCCTGGACTGCAACGCTGCGGTGACATTGTTCCCGCTTTTTGCTTGGTATTGAGGAATGTACGAAATATTGAAGCCTAAGTAAGAAGTAAGTACGCCGTGCAGCCCGAAGGAAAGAGCTACCGGCGCGTGGCGAGGCTGACATTTAGGGCTTTTTAGAGCAAGCGCGTCTTGGCACGCTTATGTACCGGGGACCTTTTTGGTGACTTCAGGCCATTGTGCCTTTTTTTCGTACCTTTTTTACTTTCTTTTCTGGCGCCGTCCGGGTCCGTTTTCCGTCTAACGAGTGGCGATGGCTACGGCGAGGAAGAAAAGATGGTCGTTTCCCGACTGGACATCAGAGTTTTCGATCCGGCGCAGAACTACAGATCAGGTATGCGCGTTTCGCCGACATAATTATGTTGTTTCCATCTCCTCTATTGTTTCAACGTTTCACGTCCCACGAACCAGGCACCAATCAAGACCTCGCCGCTCCGCAGAGTGGGTTGGCCAAAGTACGGCCCTACCGGTGGGGCCTTGAAATCTGGTCAAGACAAACCACCACGCCCAACTATTTTGGTCAATGGCGAATCGCTGGCAAAAAAACACTCAAACTTCGTTGTCCTCTCATATCTCGATGGGCAACACAGCATGTAAAGTCTGGACGTTCCGTTTTACACGTGGCTAAGCCATGACGAAGGGTTGGCATCAGGTACAGATGCTGGAGCAGAGATGGGGCGACTCAAAGTCCGTTGTCTGGCTGGCCTAATGCAAGAATACGAGCACACAGACATGCTGTTCAGGGGCCTGCATGTCTGAAGATACAAGTAACATGTAAACCTATCACAGCAAAGTACAAAGTATCGTCGTACGGAGTATTCCCATGCTGCAACGCTGTTGTCCGTTGGGTCGTATGTTGTACTTTCTGTCGCCATGGTATGGCTTGTATTGAAATTAGCATTACCATAATTCGTATTTCGAGAGTCTTGGCTGTTGGACGTGTGGTAGAAACGAGAAAACCGAGTCGTTGGCCGTGGTCTAATGCGTTTTCGGAAACTTTCACCTGGCGCTGACAGGGGTTTGGGGCTGCGGCTGATAGGCTGCGGCTGATAGGCTGAGGCTGAATGGTCAAAGATGAGATGAAACGAAACAATGCAAGAATGCGACGATGGTGCGAAGTGCCAGGGTCAGAACGACGTGGAGGCATCACTCAGCGTACAGCTTCTGAAAACATTGTGATAGGAAACTCTTGAAGAGACAAAAGACAAAAGACAAAGAGATAAAGAGACGAGCAACTGATCTTGATAGCACAGAATGAGAACATCGGACGAGAAAAGGAAAAAAGGTCGCGATAAGTTTAACGTGACAACACAACAACCAGGTGAGGACGGCTGGGACGAAGACAACTGGCCTTGGCCAGCAACCCCTGAATGCTACTTTCTGCCTCCATTTCTGCGCCCCGCGAGTTGAAGTCTTGCACACGCCGATGTGGCTGACCTGGAGCTCGATTACTACGAGACATATGGAGGGACCGAACGCTCATGATACTGCCACTTATCCGGCCAGTCAGAGCTCAGAGCTCCGGAGGTGACCTGGGCCGATGTTTTTCCAAGCTAACACGGAAGCTACCGTTCCGGCTCGGTAACAGCAGAGCACGGGCCGAAGAATTGTGCCACATGAATGAGGGCCCCTCGATTTTTATCAAATACCAATTGGCCGGACTCTGCATTGTTCGCAACGATTGCTATCCTCCTAGAGGCGTGAACCTTGGGGGGCAGGACGGTCTGTGTGACGACGATGCCCAGCATAGCTTTCATTGTCCAATGTATTTTGTATTGTTGATGGACTCGCATAGAGCATCCTCGAGCTGCTCCTGGTGTCGTGCGGCCGCTGTCTATATTATTCCACATGTGCCCAAATTTCGCCAAAGCTGTTCCCCGCGGTCCTAGACGTGGATGGCTGGTCCCCTCAATCGGCGCTCGGCTTTAGCTGTCTCTTTCCCCATTTCCCCATCTCGAATCTTGCTTCGCCAGCCTTTCCCTTCCCCGCAAAGATCTGAACAATTAAACGATCGGTTTATTTTTTCGTTTGTTTATCTATTTATATCCACTACCCCATATCGCGGAGCGTGATCCCTTGTCTTCACTTTCTGAAGAGAACCCCCCAGACTTCTTGTCTTTCGCACCAAGCTTTAACTGGATCCTTAACAACACCTGTCCACCACTCACCCCACCACCGCCGACCGTCACCATGTCTTCGTTCCCCAAGCTGATCCCTGCTTTTACGGCTAGAGTTGGTCCACTCTCCCTGACGCAAACACACACAGCTGCTGGGAACGGCCGCTGACTCACACCCACCCACCCATCCAGATCCCCATCCGCGCTGCCGACGCCGTCGGCTCCAGCAAAGGCGGCCTCAACCTCGTCCGCTTCGTCTCCGTGGACGAGGGCCACGGCGGCTCCCTCGTGTCCGAGCCGGGCTGCCCCGTCGCGGTGGACGCCCAGTTCGTCCACGGCGCCGACTACATCCGCCCCGAGGACGACGGCAAGCGCCTGCGCCTCAACGTCAATTCTGTCCTGAAGCAGAAGGGCAGCGACGACGTCTTGCTCAGCTACACCTACACAGGCCTCATTGAGATCACCGACGAGATCGCCAAGGTGCTGTCGGGCGCGCCGGGCGCGGCGTCGACGTCCCAGGGCCAAGTGTTCTCGCAGGTCAACTTTGAGTCGGGCCACCCGTCGCTCAAGGTGCTGGGGACCAAGCTGTACGTGGCGGCGGGCCGCTTCATTGTCGAGGCCGGTCAGCCTGTGATTGTCGAGTACAAGATCAGCGAGGTGTCTGTGTAAAATGCAGTGTCCGAGGAGTGGCATAAAGTCTGGGACAAAATATCAGTAACAGCAGAGCAAGCAAAGTAAACAAATCGAAACATGACAAACAAGACAAACATTCAATGTAGAAACCAAGACGGCTGCGAACATGTCGGGGTGAGAAAACAAGGAAAAAATTCAGAAAAAGAACGTTTCTTTATATGAAAGAGATATAAAAAAATGCCATATATATGTAAGTGCTGCCATCAGCATTCGGATGATTGTACCGCCGTACAGTCCACCAACGCGATACCACCTCAACTTGATATGATCCTGCATCATCAACCGTCACAAACCATCATCAGCACCAACCGCCTGCTTGGACAGGCTCAACCGTCCAACGGCCACCACATGTGCCTGGCAGCATTCACCAAACAAAACGCCGCAAATATGCCAAAACATAATCCACACGTGACTCGACTGGTAATGCCGTCGGTAAACATCAGGAGTGTCTTTTTGTCTTACAAAAGAGCCCCCACTCCCCTCCCCCCTTTGGACTTTTACATGGTCACACCGCTCAGCTGCAGTAGCCGTTCGCCGACCTGTACGTTGGCAAACTCGTAGGCCTTGGAGCCTTGTGGGAAGGTGCCGTTGGCGGCCCAGAGGTCGATCAGGGGCTGCATCGGCTCCAGCTCGTGCGGCTTGAGCATGTCGAGCGCCGTCGCCGTCAGCACAAAATGGCTGAAGCAACTGTTGAGCTGCTTCTCGAGGTTGAGGTGGTAAAAGGGGTCGACAAAGTGCGCCCAGTACAGGTGTGCGTAGACACGGAACATTTGCCGGAAAATGGTCTGGCAGACGTCGACAAAGTTCTCGGGGAACCCGCTGCGTTTGCCGACCCAGTCGCGCTGCGGGTCGCCGCCGCCGAGACCGCCGAGACCACCGAGACCACCGAGACCGCCGCTCGACGACGATGAGACAAGGCCGGACAGCTGGGCCGGAGTGCCGTTGTTGCCGCTGCCCGTGGACAGGGCCGAGTTGACCGCGAACGAGACGCCCGAGGCTTCGGTGGGGAAGATCTTGGTGTCGTCAATCTTGCCTGAGATCCAGCGCTGCATGAGCGTCATGTACTCGTAGGCGGGCAGCTCGACGGGCTCTCGCCGGGCGTTGAGCCAGGTAAACGAGTGGTTTGTGCCGGCGGACATGCGCGGGCACGTTGTCGGGTTGCAGATGGACTGGCCGTCGTCTTCCTTTTCGTGCAGCACCCGCACAAAGTTCCACAGGTTTCTGTAATGCTCGACGACTGGACATGTTAGGACGAGAATTGGGGAATAGGCAGGGGCCGCTACATCGGGGCAGAAACAATAAACAAGACAAAACACGTACTCTGGTGTGCAATCCACTCGCCCTGCTCGACTGTCTTGGGCCGGGCACTCAAGGTCATAAAGTTGCCCTTGACAATGTGCTTTGCGTACGAGGGGTTGAGCCACAGCGGCAGCGGCCGCGGCAGGTGGTACGAGGTGAGCACCTCATCCGCCGTGGGAAGGATGGGGCGCAGACCGCCGGACTCGTCCATGCCGATGGTCTGTGCGAGGGACGGCGAATTGGGCAGCGGTGGCAGCTTGGCCAGGCTCGAAGCAGTCTGGCTTCCGGGGAGCGGCGGCAGTTCACCGCCTGCAGAACCACCGACGCCGACACCGATGCCGGACAGGTTCGACGAAGAGGCGGCAGTGCCAATATTGCCGTTGTTGCTTTGCGACTGGTTCTGGCTCTGGAGGAGGTTGCCGGTGCTGCCACTGGTGGGTAGGCCGCCAGCGGAGGTGGAGGATGGGACGCCGGAGGTAGGCGTCAGGGGTTGGCTGGAGGTGGACGAGGTTGGGCTCTTGTTGCCCGTGTTGGCTGTTCGTGCTGATGCGCCGCGAAAGCGGGCGTTTCTGGAGGCGTGTTAGAGAGGGCGGGGAAAACTGTACAGGAAACGGACGCAGTGATGGATGCAGGGCGAGTGAATGATGGAGCAGAAGAATGGTAACAAAGAATGGTAAGTGTTGTGTGCTGGGGCCAGGCTGACGATCTGCCAACAAGCAGCCCGTTATAATACAGGACGAATAAGACGAACGTGCGCGCGCGGCAGCCGTCCCCTCGTTACTGTGTCGTCCGACAGCCGCTGGCCAAGTGCCATGTCCATCCAATAACGGCCAATGGCCCTTTACGCCCTGAACTCGTGAAATGACATCGGTCATGCGAAACGCGATTTCCACGGGGCTGCTTGGAAGATGTGCAGCACAGCCATCGAGGGAAGGTATGTTGTTTGCAGGGAGCAGAGATCGAGAAGAGGGAGAGCAAGGGGAACAGGAAGATCAGAGAGATCAGAGATCAGACAGGACAAAGAATCGACTTACATTCCTGAAAAGAGGTTCGACATGGTCGGTTATGAAAGAGGCTCCAACAGCACAGCTGTTGGATTCGGGACAGACGAGGCAAGCTCGCGAACAGAGAAAGGTAGAAAGGGCGGGGAACAGATGCTGGTGGCAGAAACAAAGAGGTGACGGGGTGTTGTGGCCGTGCCTATTCGTCGGTTTGTCTTTTCGTCGTTGAGTGGTTGGTGGTTCGCGTTCTGCGTTTCGAGTCGAAGGTCGAAGCGGCAGGGCATTGGCGGGGCGGATGGGGGCAGGGACGCACAGTCGAAACAGGAGGTCGGACGGGGGCGCTGTTGTTTCGAGAAGAGAGAATGGCAAGGCGGCAGAGGCTCAGAGCACAGACAGAGACAACAAATTACCAGAAAGAGATCGAGATACGAAAAGCTCCAGATGCACAATATGAGAATTCTTGGAAGGGGGTCCGACTCGGGCAAAGTCCCGGCTCAGTGCGTATGGGCCGCGATATTGACCGTTGTCGTAGATGAGGTGCAGGTGGCAGTCTGGGACGGCGAACGAGCGTCGTGGTTGATGTTGGCAGAACAGTTGAAACGGTCACGATTTGCTGGAGAGGATCCAGAGTCACAAGAGCCAAAGAGCCAAGGCATGGGAACGAGGACGTGGTGGTGGGAAACGGGATCGACGCATCCAGAAAGAGAAGGAGAGCACAGCAACGGGCAAAAAAGGGGAAGCGGGCAGCAGCGGCGGTGAGGGGTGGCTTCAGTGGAGCTGGTGCTGGTTTGCAGCGCTGGCAGCGGGCGCTACTAGGGGCTACAGGGGTCGGGAGGGGAGAAAAGGGGGAGGAAACGCCTGGCTTGGTCTGGGCAGGAATAGTGGCGGGTGCTCGCTGGGGATGCACTAGCGGAAAGAGCGCTCTTATGGAGGAAGGGGCAGGCGCGAGCCAGGAATACCCAAGCGAGAAGGCGCTGCCGACTAAATCCTACGCAGATGGAAAGAGAGAACAAACCAAGCACAGAAACTTCTATTTGTGGCAGTCGCCCTAAGACAATTTATCTACAACGTAGACTGCAAATAAGGAAAGTCACAACATTTCTATTCCTTGGAAGGCGGACATCCGCGTCCCCTTACACCTAAGTTGAGGGACTACACGTGACCGCCGTTAACCAACAGTGGTGCTCTAGTTGTGTTGAGCTTGCTCTCTATTGTGCAAGTTTCCTCAATAGGCGGCGCCACTCCCTGGAGGACCCCCTGGCGTCGCGCTTAACCCAACACGGGCAGATAGCCTGCACCAGCCACAAGCAACAGGTGCGAACAGCGCACGGCGAACAGCTCGTTGTGGCCGTGTCCAAATTTGGCGCCAAACTTTTGACCTTTTTTCGACCGTCGACTTTTCTAACCAGGACAGTCCGCGTCCACGGTTCGACTGCCTGTTGAACTCCACTCTGTTCTCGCATCTGTTTGTGTTTTATTTTCTTTTCCCCCCTTGTTTTCATGCACAATGTCCGACTCTGAAGGACACATCGAGTCGCCGGCGGCCGCGGCCGAATCGCCTGTGGCTTCGCCTCCGGCGGACTCGCCAATTGCAGATGACGACGATGCGATTGCGAGTGGCGATGACCTGTTCGGCGGCGGTGACGACGATGACGAGGGCCAGCTGTCGGACCAGCCGCTGAGCGAGCACGGCCTCGACTCGGATGACGACCGAGACGAGGACGGCGAGCGCTATGGCGAGGACGGCGGGCGCAGCGCGCGACAGCAACAGCGGCAGACGCGCGAGGAGACGGAGATGGACGTGGACATGTATCGGCACAGGACGCCCAAATCGACGGACGGAAATGTATGTGAAGCGAGGGACCGCTGGACCTCTACCTCTGAATGGACTGTCATGGCAGGTTGCTAACGTCAATAGCTCCAATCCCTGCGGATCCCCCCATTCATCAAGATGAACCCCGAAGAGTACCGCCCCGACACCTTTGTGCCCACCGACTTTGACCTGGAAAACTCCCTCGCCAAGAACCCGCACTCGGTCGTCCGCTTCCGCCGCGACCCCGAAACCGGCGCGGTCCAGAGCAACGCCGCCATCTACCGGTGGAGCGACGGCTCTGTCACGCTTGCCGTCGGCGACGAGCACTTTGAAGTGCTGACCAAAGGCCTCGCCGACCCCGAACACCTCACAGAAAAGGGCGGCTACCAGGAGCTGCAGGACGCCCACTACTATGCCGCCGCCGCCCATCTGAGCAGCTCGCTGCTTCTGACCGTCGGCCACGTCACGGCCCAGTACAGCGTGCGTGCCAACCACACGGTGGCCGACGACGCCCTCAAGCGCCTGACCGATCGGCTGCAAGCGGCCACGCAGAGCCCCGACCACACCGCCAACATGATCATTCGGACCGTGCGCGACCCGGAGCTGGCCAAGAAGGAGGCCGAGCTCGCCGAGAAGGAGCGCGAGCGCGCCAAGCGGCGGCGCGAGACAGCGGCTGCTCGTCTTGACGGATCGGCGAGTGTCGGCGGGCGTTCGGGCTGGGGCGGCGGCGCGCTCTCGGTGGGCGACCTAGAGGGCGGAGGACGCCGTGGTGGTGGCCGCCGCAAAGGCGGCCCCGGTGGCGCTGGTGCCCGCCCAAAGCGACGACGGGACGAGTACGACTCGGACGACGAGCTGCCGCAAGGGGCGCGGCGCAACGACGAGTACGACAAGGGCGACGACTTTATCGCACCCAGTGACGACGACGTGTCAGACGAGGAGGGCGGGGATGACGACGACGAAGAGGAGGAGGAAGAGGAGCTGGATGACGAGGAGGAGGAGGAGGACGACCGCCGTGGCGGTTCGTCGCACCGGGCCAAGCGGCAAAAGACGGCCGAGGCCGAAGACGACGACGCAGAAGGTGACGACGACATTCCGGCCGCACGGCGGAACCGGCGAAACATTATTGACGACGACGACGACGAGTAGAGTGGTGGGGGCGTGTAGCGAGTGGACGATGTTCTGTTTATAATTTTGCAGTTTCTTTTCATTTCGTTTTGTCATGATTCATATTACCTGGGAGAATCTGCGGTCTACATGTACGGAATTTGCATGGTATCGATTGGGGCTGTTTGTTGAAAGCGCCGAAGCGGCGTCTTATAAAACGAGAACAAAATCTGGCTCGGACGGTGAAAAATAGAGGCGTTTTGGTTGAATGCAAGGTATCTTTCATGCCAGCCAGCTTGTATTCCATTGCAAAATGTGACGAGAATGCGTTGTTTCACTATGACGCTCTAGACAGGGCAGTTTAGCAGTTGAGCGGGTCTCCACAGTGCTGAGCGTGCGCTGTTGCTCCTTCCACAGCGTGTTGTTCGCTGAATAAGTGGGGTGCCCTGCCTCAACATCACATGCCAAACAACGACATCGTATTTCGACCGCCCTCTCATGATGTGTCTTCGTACATCAAACGCCCACGTTTCTAACAACGATCTGCTCAGATGGTGAACTCGATCCCGTCCGGCACCCGCCACGTCCGACTCCGATCATGTCCGTGAACATCTGGATCTGGGGGTTCATCACCAGCCCCCTCGTCGTCCTCCTCTGGCTGCATCGTCTCTACACCTACATCGGCTCCCTCTTCACATGGGACCGTGGGCTCGCCGTGCTCTGGGACCGGCTGCATCACGCCGAGACCTTTGAGCAGTGGGAGGCGGCCGGCCTTGCGCTGGACCATCGCTACCGCATTGACACCTGGCGCAAGGTCGACAAGAGCAAGGCCTATGCCTGGGAGCTGATTGGCGACCGCCTCGCCGCGTTTGGCCTCGCGTTGCAGGCCGGCCATGTGCAGGCACTCGTGCACCTACTGCAGTCGGGGCTGGTCCGCAACCTTGGCAACATCACCGTGCCGGCGCTGTACAACGCGTCCTTTGCGGGCACCAAGTATTTGATTGAGAACTACATCCTGCAAGTCTGCGAGATCATCCGCGACCTCGTCAACCTGCCGGGGCCCGACGCCGGCGAGCCTGCATCGAGTGTGTCGGGCTCTGCGCTGGCGACAAGCCACGCACCCGCGTCCTCCGAGTTGAGCCCCGAGCTGGCGCGCGCCGTGGCCGAGGGCCGCTGCCAGCTGCTTTCGGTCGGCGAGAAGCGGCGCCTCTTCAACAACCTGCGCCAGTCGTTTGGCCGCACGACGCTCGTCTTCCAGGGCGGCTCCATCTTCGGTGCATGCCACTTGGGTGTGGCCCGTGCCCTCTTCCTCCGCGGACTACTGCCTCGCATTTTGACCGGCACGGGAACGGGCGCCCTGATTGCGGCGCTTCTCGGAACACACACAGACGAGGAGCTGCCGGGCGTGCTCGACGGCGTGGGCATCGACCTGTCGGCCTTTGAGGCGGTGGCGAAGCGCAAGCAGCAGCGCCAGGATGCGGCCAAGGCCGAGGCGGAGTCGTCGGCCTTGCCGTTCTCCGCGGCATTCCGCACGCGCTGGGAGACGCTGCATCGCCGGCTGCGGCGCTTCTGGAACGAGGGCTACTTTTTGGATGTCACCGTGCTGGAACAGTGCGTCCGCGACAACGCGGGCGACATGACCTTTGAGGAGGCCTACCGCCGCACGGGCCGCACGCTGAACATCACCGTCGTCACCGGCGGCGCTGCCGACGTGCCCTCGGTGCTCAACTACGTCACGGCGCCCAACGTGCTGATTTGGACGGCCGCCGTCGCGTCCAACGCCTCGAGTGTTGTCAGCGACGCTGCCACCGCCGCCTGGTACGGCCGCCGCCAGACGGCCATCCTGTGCAAGGACGTCGACGACCAAGGCCGCACCGTCGTTGTGCCCTGGCCGCTCGCCGACGCGGCCCACTTCCGCCACTGGACCTACGGCAGCTACGGCACGCGCCACTCGCCGCTGCAGCGGCTGGCGCAGCTCTTCAATGTCAACCACTTTATCGTCAGCCAGGCCCGCCCGTACCTCGTGCCCTTCCTCGAGCCGTCCATGCACTCCCCCGCCATGCGCGGCTTCGCCATGGGCACGCTGGCCCGTGCCAATGCCTTTGCGGTGCACCACACCGGCCGCTTCGTGCGCCACCGCCTCGACCAGATGGTGCGGCTCGGCTGGCTGCCTTTTGCCTTGCGCAGACTGTTGCTGGACGAGCAGATCCCCAGCGGACACCTCGTGCTCGTTCCGACGGTGCCGCTGCACGACTACGTGCGCCTCCTCGACTCGCCATCGCCCGAGACGCTGCATTACTGGATCCACAAGGGCGAAAAAGCCGTGTGGCCGGCGGTGGCGGCACTCAAGATCCGTTGTTCGGTGGAGCTGGCACTCGAGCAGGCGTGCAAAGACTTGGCTGCCACGTCTACGTCGACACTGACGGGGAAGAGCCCGGTCAAGACCGACAGCCGAAGCGGCAGTGTGGCCCCCAAGAGGAAGTCCACAATACCCTGGGCACCCGCAGATTCGTCAGCCCAGTAACGCATGCCGCTGTGATACTGATGCTGTACGGGCATAAACAGGCATATACAGGCATTTGTGGGAATACATTGGCATAAAAGGACACGTGGAACATAAATGGAGTAACGCATGGGACCGGATTTGGCGTTTCTGGGTATTAGGGATCATTCTGTAAACAATAAACACTGATATTTTGTACTCCTATGGTTGAAAATGACTATGACGCCGATAAAAAAGGCATATGAAAACAGACAGAGGAAACTCGAGACAGAAACGTACAGATATACAAAGCAGACCACAGACCACACATCTACATCCACAACCGACACGTGCCGTCGGCACCCGCCGACACGCACCAGGCCTCCTTGGGGTGCCACGTCACGTCCAGCGCGCCCACTGCGTCGACCACCTTGTGCGCGCCGCGCTCCAGCTTTTTGAGAGGCACAATTGTCGGGTATTCGAGCGGGTCGTTGTACACGCGGCCAAAGTAGATTTGCAGGGTGCCGTCGTCGCTCGTGTCGGCGAACAGCGGCAGGCCGCCGCGGTGGAAGCGCACCGCGCGGACGGCGCGCTCGTGGTACCGCATCGTCTTGTAGGGCCCCGTGCTGGCCATCTCCACGTCCTGCCACACCAGCCGTCGGTCGTACGCGCCGACAATCAGGTGCTCGCCGCTCGTCGGGTGCACGTCAAAGGACGAGATCTGGCGCGCGCCGGGCAGCACCGTCTTGACGAGCTCCATCTTTTGGAGGTCGTACACGCGGATGCGCTGCTTGGTCGCCACGAAGAAGAGCGGCTGCGATGGGTGGAAGCGCGCCGCCTGTGGGATGTTGGGCATGCGCCGGAAGGGCACCTGTGTCAGGTGCCGCGACAGCGTGTGCACGGCGACGGCGCTGCGGCCGCCGGCCGGCGACACCGTGGCGAAATGCTCGCCGCGCCGGTGCCAGCTGACGGACACGATGGGTGCGCGCACGCGGATCTGCAGCAGCACGCCGGCACGCACGAGCCGCGCGTCCTCGGGACGGCTCCACTTGGCCGGGGGCTTCTGCGCCTCGCCGCCCGTCGCCGGGTCGTTGGCCTTGGCCGGCGTCTTGCCCTTGGCCGCGGCATAGCCGAAGCCGGCGTCCACCACCGCGCGGCTCGCCTGCTCGAGCTCCGGGTCGACCACCACCGTCGGCACAATCATGTACAGGTCCTCGCCGGCCGCGGCCGCCAGGACAAACGCGCCCTTGCTGGGCCGCCACTCGATGCTGCGCACCGGCTCGTCGTTGTACGTGTCCGCGTGGCCCTTGCCACCCGTCAGCCGCGCGCTCCACACCTGCCGGCCCGTCAGCAGCTCCCACAGCCGCACCGTCCCGTCGTCGCCGCCCGACGCCAGCCAGTTGCCCGTGGGGTCGATGGCCACCGCGCGCACGCCGCCCACATGGCCGCGGAACACCGTCTGGCACACCGTCGGGAACGGCTTCAGCTCCTCGGCGGGCGGCAGCTTGGGCAGCAGCGAGCTGGGGTCGATGTTGAGGCGGTTGCGGCGCACGCGCGGCGCGAGGTACAGGTCCAGGCAGCGCTCGAAGCGCTCCTTGACAAACTCGCCGTAGCCGGGCACCTTGCGCAGGGCGTCGTACTTGGCGGGCAAAAACGCCTCCTCGCGGTCTTCGGGGTCCGTGGCCTCCCACGCGGCGCGCTCGGCCTTGGTCGGCACGTACTCGGGCGGGCAGTTGTACGACTCGCGGTGGCCCGGCGGCGGCAGCTTGGGCGCGGGGATGTGCATAATGTGCGCCTCCACGGGCACCTCGTCGTGCCACAGGTCGTAGTGCGGCTGCGTCTCCTCGTCCTCCTTGCTCTCGTCGCGCGGCTTGTAGGGGAGGATGTGGCCGAGGCGGATGGCGCGCACCATCTTGGCAATGCGCACGGCCTCGTGCTTCGACGGCACGAAACGGCGCTTGGGCTCGGGCGCCGCACTCAGCGGCATCGTCTCCACGACGCCGGAAAAGTACTCGACCATGTCCGGGTACGGGTCGTAGTCGCCCGCGCCCTCGCTGTCGTTCTGCCGCTCCTTGTGCACGCGCTTGAGCAGCTCCAGCTCCTCCTTGTTGAGCTTGAGCGGCTTGCCGGTCGCCGGGTCCGTCAGGTTCGTCCAGTCTTCTGGCAGTTCGATGCTTTCGAGGAGGGCGTCGAGTGCGTCGCCCGTCGCCGGCCGCATGATCTTCTTGCCGTTGATGTCGTAGCCAATGTGCGGGTACGAGTCGTAGAACGAGAGCGGGATGTTGCCGATCGTGTTGGACTCCTCCTTGTCGCTGTCGTCCGAGTCGTACACGGGATCGATCTCGTCGTAGATGTACCGCACACCACCGTTGGCGTCTGTCGTTACCCGGTAGTTGGGCTTGTCGGCATCGTCATCGTCGTGATCGGGGTCCTCTTCCAGTTCCTCTTCGTCTTCGTCTTCGTCCTCCTCGTTGTCGTCCTCCTCATCACTTTGTTCGTCCTCGGCGCCGTCCGTGCCATTGTTCAGCGTCAGCTTGGTCAGCTCCCGGCTCTCCTCGTCGTCCTCGCCTTCGGATGGCACGTCATCGCTGTCGAGGTCGGCCTCATCGTCGGAGCCCTCGTCGCTGTCTGAAAACACACCGTCCAAAAGGCCGTCGATGCTGCCCTCGTTGTCCGACTCCGCGTCGGTCGTCACAATGGATGCCTTGCGCTTCTTTTCGGGGACGGCAGCCTTGGCCGCTTTTGGTGGCGCTTCTGCCTTTGGCGCTGCCTTCGTCTTGGGTGCCATTTTGTTTCCGTTGGTGTTGTGGTGGCAGTATGAATCGTCTTCAATCGACCGTTGGCTCGATCTTTTGACTTGCCGTTCCTACAGTGCAAAACTAGCACCCAGCTTTGCTACCAGCGCCCTGCAGCACCAAAATTTTCTGCCAACAATTTTTTGGGCGGTCTGCACATTCTGCCGCCTAAATTATGGACCCGCTAACCTTATGTAAGCAGGTGCATCCGAATCAGGTCACCGCCTTGGAAACGCCGTTTTGTCCGAAGTCCGGTTGGCCTTTCCGTATCGGGCAATGTTTGGACAGCGACCTACACACAGGAAAAGTCTCCGAGCCTTCTGCAAAAAGCGGGTCCGCTTACACATCGGAAAGGACTTGAATCCCTCCGCGCACCTCCTGCCTTTCAAATAAGTCTCCGAGTGCAGTCCCCAACCGTGTAATTGCCCCCTGTCACAGCGCTTCAGCACCGCGATCTTACCCAGAATACGGCGCCCACAGCACATGAGCAGCAGCGATCGAGCGAGGTCGTGCCTTCCACGACCGATGCTTCTCGATTCCTTTCTGCATTTCGTGTTCGCTCCTTCTTGCTTTCTCTGAGCCGCTGTTTCCCTCCTTCCTCACCTTCATTGAGTGCTTTCCATGCCATGCTGAGTGCGCCTTGTGACTCCACTGTGAAGCTCCTGCCTTCAACTTACAAAGTGCATCACCAAATGCTATTGCCAAAGGCCTCACTTTTTGTTCCTGGCTTTTTTGTCCTTGATTCTTCACCAATTTCCGGCTCAACAGCTCTGTTTACTCTCCAATTGGAACACTGGATACTGCACCTGTAGCAGCTGCCATGCCAGACCCCCAGAACGGCCCCTCGCCTGACGCGGCGGAGCAGAAGAAGCGTCGTGCCTGTGATGAGTGCAGTAAGTCTCCGAAACCCCAAAGTCTGCGATCTCACTCCATGTTCTGTCTTGTTTGTGTCCGAGCTGCTATCGGCATAGCCCAGCATAGCTGCTGCATGGCACTGTACCACACCTCGCTGTTTGTTTGTTTGCTTATGCGTTGCTTCGAAATGTATTTCGAAAAATTGCCGACGGACTGTCTTTGAAATTCACACGGCTGCTTGACCCTCGTATTTCGTCATATTCTGTACCAACGACAAAGTCTGCTCACATAAGATTGTCATACAGGAACCCGCAAGCTTGCATGCACCAAAGAGGCCGATGGCTGCCGCCGCTGCAGGCGGGAGGGCATTGCCTGTATCTACTCGGCCCAGAAGCCCATGGGCCGGCCACGAAAGCGGCCACGAACCGATGAAGAAGAGAAGACAGCTGCTGATGCTGCTGTCCCAGCTGATAGTGGCACTGTCAACGTGGCCCACAACGCGCCTGACGGCGATGTGGGCTTGTCGATCCTGGCCGATCAAGTGTCGTCGCCGGGCTTCACGTTCTTTGATTTTCTCGGCATAGGCGACAACAACGCCCTTGATCCCAATCTCATACAGCAGCAGCACACCACACACGAGGGTCCAGTCCCTACCAGCGTCCATACACAACCTGTCACGTCATTTCCCGCTGCAACTTCAGCCGTCTCCGGGCCTTCACCGCCATCGACAGCACGGCACTCCCCAATGCCCACTACCACACGCCGCTACGAAGGGATTTTCCCGCGAAGCCTGTTCGGCATCAACTTTTCCGATATAGACTTTAATACGGGCCCGACTGATGCCATGGCCAGCGGCGTGCCGACGCCCCCGACCCGAACAGACAGCAACGGCAACAGCAACAGCAACGGGGAATCACCGAGCGGCGGGTCAGATGTGCCAACACTCGCTTCGAACGGCAGCCAGTCATCACAAGCGACCGAGACACCTGCATCAAATCAGCCACCACGACCTATGGTGACTCCGGGGCTGACGCCTGGGTTGGCCGGGACCAGCCCACACGGTTGGGTGGTGCGTCAGGCCTCCTTGGGGATTCTGCCGCCGTCGCCAAAAGCCATTCCTCAGCAGCTGCCACCGCTGCCCACTACTGCCGAGGCTGCGCCATCTGCATATGATAGCGAAAACAATGGCCAAAAGAACAATGGCGAGCTGCCGCCGTTCGAGCCGAAGGCATACCCGTTACCAGAAGGCACACCCACACTTGTCGGCGGCATACCGACAGTCCCGCCGGTCGATGCCTACAGCAAGTCGTCGGCCGCGTGGCTGCTCACCGCACCCAACCGTGTCTGTGGCTGCCTCGCCCGGCTGTACCTCGCACTCGATTCTCTGCAGCACCTGCCCACCGAAGTCGGACCGGCCATGACGGTTGCACGCAACGCCGCACATACGGCGCACGACACGGTCCTGTGCCCAAGCTGCTCGCCACCGCATCTCGACCTGTACGTCAAGCCGCCCGTACAGGCGTTCCAGAACCTTATGATTTTAAGTGCGCTGTTGCCCACCATTGCGCACGCATACCGGCGCATCGTGGCCATGGTCGACGAAGAGGCGCAGCGTGCGGCTGCAGCAAAGGAACGGCTACCGCTGTCGCTGACGGAATACGGCGGTGTGTGGGGCCACATGGCCCGGTGGGACAATGTGTGCGCGCAGACGTCGTCGATGGACAACTGCGTGGTGGATCCACCCCTGTGGCGGCTGGTGGTGCGGGCGCTGCTCAAGATGGACGTGTATGGTGTCCATCTCGACCGCGACGATATGGACGAGAAGGAAGCGGCAGACAGCGCGGCGGTTGCGCAGCAAGCCATGATGGCCACGGGCGTTGGCGGTCCCTCGCCGGCTTCGGACACGGACACGGCTAATACGTCTCCACGCCCGGAACGCAAGACCACCGGCGGGGCCAAGGCAAGCTTCTTCATGGTGCCGGTCCACTTTGGCCTCAAGGACATTGCTGAGATGATGGAAGAGCGATCCAAGATGCGGCACAAGTTCTTGGACGACGCATACGACGCAGGCCTGATCAAGACGCACGACGAGGGCGGGGAATGTGGCTACCATCGGCTGCCGCCGGGCGAGAAGCCCAACTGCCAAAAGGTGATTGAGATGGCAAGGCAGGAGATTGATAAGCTCGTGATTGTGTAGATGTTTGGATGCGCTGTATTTTGGCTGTATTAGGATATAACATGAAAGGGAAAAGGGAAAAAGTACAATACCCATGAGTTTACAACGGAAAGCAGGATAGTCTGGTCGCAAGAGGAGACATAGCATTGGGTTAAGGCGATCTTGGATACTATCATCTCGATATTTTGTGGCAATATTTACAGAGTGTCGTCTAACAACGTCGCTATGAAAAGAAATGCACCTGAAAAACCTATCACGTCGCCCTTCCTATTTGTTTTTTTCATTAAAAATAGGAGCTGGGTGCCGCAGACTGCCTTCCAGAGGTTGGTAGCTCCGGGCCCTCGTCGTCGGAGCTGACCAGAGTCGTACCATCCATCTCGTCGCCCAAGGCATCCAGTGGGTCCCGCGGCGCCCGCATGGCTTCCAGGACGGAGGCATCCAGTTGAGGCCGGACCATGGGCTGCACCGTGGCAAACTCGCGGCCCGAGGGCATTTGGGCCACCAGGGGCCCGGCTGGCGGGATCCGCTGCGTGTTGACGGTGTCGTTTTGTTTGGTCCATTTGGCGTCGAGCATGGCCAGCACGCGCGTTTCTTCGAGCCGGCCGGCGTCGCCGCCCCAGCCGGATCCGCGCTCGACGCGCTTGTCCTCCTTTTTTTCGCGCTTCTCGGCGCGGTCCTTTTTGAAGCGGTCCAGCAGGCTCTTCTTGTCGGCCGCGGCTGCCAGCGAGGAGGACGGGCTCGCGCTGCCCCATCCGGCCGCGCCGGCCGGTCCACCGCCACCGTCCCTCAGCTCCAGGAGCGCGCCGTGCACCCATGCCAGGGCCGTCCCCGTCTGGCCGCCCAGGTCGGCATCAATGGCAAAGAAGCGACAGGCCTTGGCGCGGCTCGTGTGCCGCAGGTCCTGCAGGTAGCGCACAAACGCGCGGCTGATGCCCGCGACGCCGGACACGCCGCTCGCGGCGCGGGCGGCGTGGTCCGCGGCGGCCAGACACAGGCGGGCATAGAGGTGGGCGCGCACTTTCGGCAGGTCGGGCGCCTTGTACATCCACTCGCGGTCGTGCTCGTTGCGGTCCTGCGCGACGGCCGCCGGGTACGGGTCGTCCTTGAGAACGGCCACGAGGGTGGCCTCGGCCAGAGCGAGCGCGGCGAGCGACCGCAGCGTGGAGGCAGACACCTCGGGCGACGGGGCGGCGGAGGCGGCGTACGACGAAGACGCGGCAAAGGTGGTGGCAAACGAAAACACGCCGGCGGCCGTCTGCAGGTGCTTCAAGGCCGTGGCGAGGGCCGCCTTGCGCTGCTCGCTGCCGACGGGCACGACGGAGGTGACGACGTAGAGTGGCTGCAGGGCCGCACGGGCTTGCAATGTGTAGGCGTGGCCCAGAGCTGCGAGGACAAAAACGGCTTCGGCGTCGAGCGCGGCCTGGTTCAGCGGAATACGCACCCGCGGCGGCTCTTTCCCGGGTAGGCGTGCTTCTGCGAGGACCGGCCGCCACTCGAGGCCGGGGCCGGATGCTGCTGCGGGCGCCTGCGCGGATCTAGACCCGGACTCGGGTCCGGCTGCAGCCAGAGGTCCCGGCCCCTTGTTCCTTCGCTGTGGCAAGAGGGAGACTTGTACGTCCCTGTTGCGCCCCGCCAGACCGTCGGCCAAGGCAATCAGGTACGGCAGGTAGTCTTCGAGACTTGACACGACCAGGCCGAGATTGGACGACTGCGTCTCGGGCGGCATCCGCTTGTGGCGCTTCAGCGTGTCGCGGACAACACTTCGGTAGGTTGATGCGGTGCTCGGCAAAGAGGGGTGTGTTGGGCTATCAAAGGCTGTTGTGAAGACAAAGGCCGACGTGGTCGGCAAGACAAACGGGTACGGCATGGCGCGTGGTCAGGGATGCGTCCGGCGGCGTCCTGTGTCGAGTTGGATACGACAAAAGGAGGCTTTCTGTTTGCATGATTCCAAGAGACGCTTCAAGAGGCGATGGTTGTCGCACCTGCCGTTTGAGCGTCGCATTGTGCCCAGAAGCTTGGCATAGCTTTCGGCAGGTGGTCGTCTTTGGAGGTGGTGGGGCGCTCTTGCACGCCAAGGCGAATGCCCAAAGGGGAAAGTGCAGGTACAAGCTGTGCGTTTAGCGACGTGTGGCCGTTGATTAGCGCTATTGGCAGCTTTCTGCCCCTGTAGTTGGCCCCTGTCCACCGCACCTTGTTACAGTGAAGGAGCATCGCCGGTTCGGAGACATTTGCTGATTTTTGTTTGTGCATACTGTATAGTCCAATAAAACTACTTTACCTGGATTGTCTCTCATCTATTGTCTCTTTGTACTTTGTGATCCAGAGGCTATATTTTGTTTGCTTTCTTCGTCCTGTAGTATTAGTATCACATATGGTGCGTGTCCGGAGGCTGTGCATTTAGAATACAGTAACGTCACTCCCTAAAGTAGCGACGCGTCTTGTGCTTTCCTTTTCCGTTGCATCCAAGAGCTTCGAAATAGTGGACCCTGCACCCGAAATTGGCCAGATTTCGACCTGCCATCCACACACTTCGTCAGACGACCTTCCGACAACACGGCATCTGTCCGACTACAACTTCTCGATACAACACGCCCGACCGCACCGCTCATGCTGCCATCTGGTGCCAGTTCAATGACAACCCCATAAGTCGGTCAATTCCCTCCTCCGACCGCAGCCGAGCTCCCCTGTCCTGGTACGTTCGATCTCGTTCTTCGCGGATCCGTCTACATCGTCCTCCGTCTTCTACCCCCTTTCAACGTCTGGATCGCCCACGATGGCTGGCCCGTCACCATCCCCGCACAAGCCGCGGCGGAAGCCCAAGAAGACCGGCGTGCTGGCTGACCTCGACGCGAACAGCGGCACGAGCAGCAACGGCAACGGCGGCTCCGTGGCGGAAGGCCTCATCCGCTCGCCGGCCTACCCCCTCGCCGCGTTTTTGTGGCCGGCACGCGGCTCGGTCTCGCAATGGGAGCTTCTGCCGTTGATTCTGATGGTGGTTGGGCTGTTTCGGTGGGCCGCCGGTCTCTGGGGCTACTCGGGCTTCAACAAGCCGCCGCAGTTTGGCGACTACGAGGCGCAGCGCCACTGGATGGAGATTACGACGGCGCTGCCCGTGTCGCAGTGGTACTTCCACGACCTCGACTGGTGGGGCCTGGACTATCCGCCGCTGACGGCGTACCACAGCTGGCTGCTCGGCAAGGTGGGCGGCCTGATGGACGCGTCGTGGTTCGCGCTGCATACGTCGCGCGGCCTCGAGACGCCGGCGCTCAAGATTTTCATGCGGGCGACGGTCTTTGTGTCCGAGTACCTGGTATACATCCCGGCCGTGGTCATCTTTGTGCGGCGCTTTAGCCGGCTGAGCGGTGTGGCGTCGTGGACGGCGTCGGTGGCGCTGGTGGCGGTGCTTCTGCAGCCGTCGACGATCCTGATCGACCACGTGCACTTCCAGTACAACACGGTCATGCTGGGCCTGGTGACGGCGAGCATGTCGAGCATGCTGGCCGGACGGCTGCTGTGGGCCGCCGTCTTCTTTGTGGCGGCGCTCGGCTTCAAACAGATGGCGCTGTACTACGCGCTGCCCGTGTTTGCCTTTTTGCTCGGCACCTGCGTGTTCCCGCGCATCAATGTGGGCCGCCTGCTGGGGGTTGCTGCTGTCACGGTTGTGGCGTTTGCGCTGCTGCTTCTGCCGCTGGTGGCCGGCACCATCTACGACCAGCGGCGCGGCATCCGGGCCCACGCCGGTCTTCCAGCCAACGCGGTCGTGCCGCTGCCGCTCTTTGCCGACGTGTTGGAGACATACCTCGATCCCAAGGCCTTCTACTACCCCGTCGTCGAGCAGCTCGTCCAGATGGTCCACCGCGTCTTCCCGGTCGCCCGTGGCCTGTTTGAGGACAAGGTGGCCAACTTCTGGTGCGCGGCCAACGTCGTCATTAAGCTGCGCGCGTACCCGGACGCGTTGCTGCAGCGCGCGGCGCTCGTGGCCACGCTTGCCTCCATCCTTCCGCCCAACCTGATTCTCTTCTTGCGGCCCAGCCGCCTGCTGCTGCCCTACGCCTTTGCTGCCACCGCCTGGGGCTTCTTCCTGTTCAGCTACCAGGTCCACGAGAAGAGCGTGCTGCTCCCGCTGCTGCCGACGACGCTGCTGCTGGCCGGCCACGGCGGCCTCAGCGGCAGCACACGCGCCTGGGTCGGCTTTGCGAACCTGCTGGGCGCGTGGACCATGTTTCCCCTGCTCAAGCGGGTCGACCTGGCCGTGCCCTACGGCGTCCTGACGCTGCTCTGGGCGTACCTGCTCGGCCTGCCGCCAACCACTGTGTCGGCCTACTTCCCGGGCGCGGAGACGTCCTACCACAGCAGCAGCAACAACAACAACAACAGCATCGCGAGCAGCCAGAGCTCGTCCGCCAAGACCGACAGCAGCGCCAACCTCTGGGGCGCCGCGCTGATCCACGGGCCCTTTTACCTCGCCATGGTCATGTGGCACGTCCTGGAGGCCACACTGGCACCACCTGCCGACAAGCCCGACCTCTGGGTCGTCGCCAATGTGGGCGTCGGCGCCGCCGGCTTCGGGATTTGTTACTTGTGGTGTCTGTGGCGCCTGCTCGTGGACAGCGAGCTGCTGCCGCGGTCCTGGTTCAAAACGGACAAGAAGGTGAAGAAGCAGTAGGGGGAGAAAGAGGGGAGGGGGAGGTGACGTAAGTGTGTGGAGGGTCTCTGTTTTGTATTTTGTGTTCTATGCATGCCGGCCCCGGGAAAAAAGGGGCTTGCACAAAGATACCATCGTTTGTTCTCTTGTTCTTTTGTTCTTTTGGTGTCGTGGTCTTCATGTTTGTTTCCTTTTGTGCATTATTTACAGGAGGATAATAAATTTGAAATTCAGTAAAACCCAGGAACCGCACTTTTACTGTTCGGATCCCGTTGAGATCTGCTCTTGGCAGCTTCTTGTCCTTGCCGGTTTTCCGAGTCTTTCGGCCCCGTCCCTACTTTTTGGCCGGGTATGATTCACTGCGCAGACCATCTTTATGGAGACAGTATGTGGTGACTTGTCGGCCATTTACGTTGTGGCTTCTCTTTCGTGCTCTATTTTGCTATAGTTTATCATCAACTTGACATGAATTATATTATTCGATGATCTCCATGTCATCGCCTTCGCGTCGGAGAAATGTGGCAGATCTAGAGATGGGTGACGTAAGCGCCGGCCACCCGACACCCAAGCTTCCAAGATGACTGCTGCCCTGCTGCCCACCATTTCTCGACATGTCTGTGGCTTCTACCGTATCTGGGTTTCCTTCCAGAAGCAATTTATGGGGGAGACGAGGAGGAACGATGAGACCCGACAAGGATGACGACAGCGGAGTAGGCGACGTTCAGCCTCGGGACGTTACTGTTTTGCAATCTGCAAGGCGGATCACAAGAAGGGAAACCAAGGTTGGAGATGGAGAAAGCATGGGAAAGCGTAACAATGACGCGTGGAAGGCGAGTAATGCATATGGGACAACGGGAAACAGGAGACCGCCAACTGCATTTATTGCATATTCGTTTCTTTTCTGTCGTCTCTCCTTTCTCCCCTCCTTGGCCTTCTTTGGCCACAGATCGACCGGGTAATATGCGCTGCGGAAAAGAAACAATGGCAAAGGCCATTGGTGTAGGGCAGCGAGCATCAAACAGTCCATTCGTGTATCTGGGAAAAAACTGGGAGAAAACAGGAGAAAGCTGGAAGATACTGGAAAAAACTGGAAGAAGTGTCAGAAAGGATGGAGCAAGAAAGAAGGCAAGCATGCGAGAATGCTGTTCCTGCAGTTTCATGATCTTTTATTTTGTTCTGCGGATTTCTCATTCAAGTTTAATACAAGCATATTTGAATGGAAGCTGTGGCTTCTTTTTTTGTACGTTAGATGTCGACAAATGGCATTTTGAAGAATTGAGGTATTGATTCTTCTGATTTTCTTTTCGTTGTTCATAGCCCGATTCTACATTTTCGCCAAGCTATCATCGCAACATTTAGACCATTTTCTCCGCGTTAGTTCCTGATCGCCGCCGTTGTAGTTTCATCCTAGCCAAAGGGCAGGCATCATGGTGCAGGATGTCAATTAAATTCGTAAACATAATGAAAAACATCAAATAGTCAACCTGGATCTACTCGATGTAACATATGTCGTGAATACGGCCGAAGAACAATGCAGAGCGTAATTCTGTCGGTGTACGTTGACCTCATGGAAAAAAAAAAAAAAAGAAAGAAAACGTCAATTGCAAAAGGTGAATTCTGATCGACCTCTTCGATCTACACCTTGGCCGGAAGAGTCGGCCGCATACTATACCACTTGCCATTGCCCAGATCTCATATTCTGCGACCGTTGATTTTCGACTTGACACTCGAGCCAGCCCCCAGTCGCGGGACAAAAGAAGAAGGAGACCCTGCTTGCCGAACCAAATATCTTTCAATAACGTCTTTTTTGATTTGTTTTGACTTTCACCTGGGATCCGCTCGTTTTGTTTGTTCTTGACTTGGTTTTGTTACTTTCCTTATTATATCGTTTTCGTTCTTTTCGTTCCTTGACTGACAACATTTTTGTGATATGTACAATTTGACCCCATCTAATTTTCTTTCCATTTTTGATATCCTATTTTCTCGTCGTCTGTCGACACGTCTTCTCTCACCAAACTATTGAACAGTCCTGTCATTCGGATTTGTCTTCGTCCATAATCGGTTCATCGACTCATCCTCGTCGACGAGCATGTCGATATAGAAACCAACCCTGGCGGTTCACCATGACGACCCTTGCATCGCCCTCGGCGGCTGACCTCCCGCACGACGACTACGGCCCCCAACTCGTCGCCCTCAGCTGCGCGCTGTTGCTGGCCGCGGCCCTGTTCCTCGTCCTCCGCATCGTCCTCAAAATCGTCCACCGACGTGGCCTCTGGTGGGATGACTATTTGTTAGTGGCCGCGTGGCTCGTCTTGACCGCCGCCGTGGTCTTGAATATTGTCGACGTCGGCTACGGCTACGGCCGGCACTCGTGGGACGTGGACCCCGTGCACATTCCCGCCATTGTGACCAACGGCACCCTGAGCGGCACGCTCGTGCTGCTGGCGGCCTGCTGGAGCAAGACGTCCTTTGCCTTTACGCTGCTGCGGCTGCCGATTGGGTGGATGCGGCCGCTGGTGTGGACGATTATCGTTACGCTCAACGTGTCGATGCACTTGAGCGCGCTGTCCATCTGGATCGAGTGTCCGGCTGCGCCGCCGTCTGTCTCGGGCCTCGGCATCGACACGGGCGACCGCCTCTGCATCCCGATCCCGCTGGCCGTGCAGTATGGCATTGCCGTTGGCGGCTACTCGGCGGCCGTGGACTTTGTCCTGGCGCTGCTGCCGTGGAAGATTCTGTGGAATCTGCAGATGCAGCGGCGGGAAAAGATGGGCGTCCTCATAGCCATGAGCATGGGCGTATTGTGAGTACTGAGTCCTGCGCATCCCCGTGTTGTCGTAGTCGTTGCTCCCACGACCATCGTGCTAACATTGCACAGTGCCGGCCTCTCGGCCGCCATCAAGACGACAAAGATAGCGACACTCGAGTCGCCAGACATTAGTATGCCGCTCGTCCTGTCCCCGCCCGCGTATGAAAATTAAAAATTACTAACCCTCCCTCCCTCCATAGTCGACAGTGTCCAGCTGGCCGCGTGGGGCATGGCCGAGGTCGACGTCACGATCATGGCAGCCTCCATTCCCATTTTGCGGGCCCTCTTCCGGCCCGGCACCTCCCGCCGCGCACCCAATATGAACAATTGGGACGATATCATGGGCGTGACGGCAGCACAGCGGCGGGGCGCAGCAGCCGCCGCAGCCGCCGCCGCGAACGTGGCCTGCTCTGTGTCAACGGACGCAGCAGCAGCAGCAATAGCAACTGCGCCTATGACATCGCCACCAGAGAAACGCTGGCCGCTGCTGACGCCCAAAAGTGTGCGGTTCCCGAGTCTACACGGGAGTGGGCGTGCCAGCCACACAAGCACGAAAGAAGACCTTGAGACCGATTTCGACTTTGATGCTGAAGACGACGACCTGAAGAAGCCGGCAGCACCACGGTCCTCCATTTGGACCTATGTCAAGTCTCCACGATCGTCTGTATAAATGATGGTATTCATTATTCCATTTCTTTTTACGTTCTCCCCCTTGTTTTCTGTCCTTTGGGTAATTAATGGGTTTCTTTACGGACACTTGGAGTTGTAAATGCACACGGTAGGCAAACGCCCTTTATGCTCGTTTGCATGGGACAACACAGACATGGATATCGTTCTGGGTATCATGGTATGGGCCAAGGGGCGCTCGGGAATGGATGGGGATATTTGGTCTTTGCTTTATGGTTCGTGTCCTTTAATTCATTTCTTTTGATCCTGCTCTTTTCAAGACATGTAACGTAAGTCGACTGGTGGATGCTCACGACAATTGACAACTAAAACTCGACAAGCGACAAGCGACAAGCGACAAGCGACAATCCACTGTCAGTCCTCTTCCCGGGCCATCTATGTGAGGCACGGTTAAGCGGCGTCGGCTTACCTCGTGTTTGTGACCCACGACAGGTGGACCGAGTGTACGCCCTCCTCGACGCCCTTTCTAGGCGAGCCATTTTCAACATGTCACAATGAGATGCCCATATGTACTGAATATTGACGCATGCCGAGGACTTTCGAGTCTCGCGTATTATGCGTTTGCATTGCCCATGCCCCGTCTTAACAAACATGAACTAAGGTGTGTGAAATAAACGAGGCCAGTCGCTTTGCTTTTCCCCAGACTGACCAGCGGGATTGGACCCGGCGACATGGTCTCTCTTGGCTCGACAAGCGCTCCATATCTTGCGTCGCTGCCGTCAATGCAACGACTCCACCGGGTTTCTGTCTGCCGACTGCTCGCCCAAAAGGTTGCGGCAGCGGTGGAAGAGATGTCTTGTTCAGCACTGGCAACCTAAACGATCCCCAAAGAGAAACCAGCGGCGTCACATAACCTTCCACCGATCCGGTAGCATCTAGATTGCCTGTCGAGACGATCGTTTGGGTTTCTTTCGTGGTCTTGACGTGGCACACTGCATCAACCTTGGTTTACGCCCACGGCAGTGAGGGACATCATTCATGGCTGTTCATTTTTTTTCTTTTCATCCCCTTTCGTTGCTTCTTCTGTTCGGCTTCCTTTATCGGCTCACTTTGAAAATTCTGTGAGACAATGGCGACAGTCGAGTGCCATCCCTGGGCTCCAAGCTTGTCGAGGTCGTCGAGGTCGTCGTGATTGGCCTCGACAGTGCCCATTGATCGACCTTGAGGACGGGGAGGACAGGGTTCACATCGCCCTCGCTCGCCCGACTTGTGGATCTTTTGTGGACCTCTCGACATGCTGTGAGACAGTTCCGTCGAGGACTTGGCAGAGACAACGCAAGACGACCGAGATAGACGATGGGATATGTCCACCAATATGGGCAATACAATAAATCGTATGCTCCCCCTCACAGATGAACGTATATGTCTTCACGTATCCCTCGTCACTGTTTTGTCTCATGTCACTGTCTGGACGAGCCGTTGGCATACTCGGCAGCAGCGAGGCAATTGCAAAAGAGCGGCAGAAATCGACGGACACTTGTAGCCTGGGGGACAAACGGCATACAAGACATGTGATCTACGACTTAGCAGTCATAATAAGAAGAGCGGCTGTAAGGACAACTGTGTCAATACTGGGTTCAATAAGTGTGAACAAGAATGTCGCGTTTGAGAGAGATTGGTCTGTTTCCTTTGCCGTGAACAGGGTGGACAATGTAAACTGTCGTGGATGTTTTGGCGATGCTTCTGTTACGTCTTTTCGTCTTTTCGTCTTTTTTTCATTTTCATTTTTCATATATTTTTTTGATGCCCGTTTTGGCACTGTTCGGCAGTGTCTGGGGAGTCGTTTACGGGCGAAAGAGTGGCCCGCCTCCCCGTTCCCGCCTCCCCGTCCAAGTCCGCGTCGTTAGCACAGAAGCACAGTGAGAAAACAGCACTGGAGACAGGATCAGGCCACACAACGAGGCAGCTAGGGCTTAGTGGCCGGCAGCAAAATAGCGCACTCCCGGCCGGCGCTATTTTTCGTTAGGGCGCTTCTCCCTGGCGTTGCAAGTGTTGCGAGCGGGGCACACTCAGGGCCTGGGGTCGGCTGGGCTTTTGAGCACCTGTAACTAAACCACGCTATATTTGGGACACGACATGGTTCACTTGGCCTGGGATGAGAGTCCCGCACTGCGTTCGTATTTTTGTTTTTTGGTGGCTGGGTTTAAATTGCACCGGAGTGACGTCCGCGTTACAATTCAGCGTCTATGAAAGGCGCAAGAATGTACCACATGCGGAATATGAAGACAAAAGTAGACATAAGGCAAGACGCAATTCAAGAGGCTGGAGGACGGCAGGTGTAGATGAAAGCAGAGCATGGGATTGACTGAAGAATTGAAGGGATACGAAGAAGGGCGAAGAAGCTGTGAAAAGAAGCGTGAAAAACAGCAAGGGGTTTAAAGCGTGTTCCTTTTTGTTCAGGTTCTTTGTATTTTTCATCACTCTCTGCTATCAAGACACTCTCTTAACACGGCACAGACGGACTGTAGCCGGTGGAACTAATTTAAATAAAGGCAAGGTTGGCAGAAGAAGGACGAGGAAGACCTGAGAAAAAAAGATGGCTGAAAATTAATGAAATAATAAATACATAAATACTCCGTCAATAAACAAGACGTGACATGACCGGGGCTCTGAATATGCCGCGAGTCCATAGTTCTGACTCGCCACCGAAGCAAGTCCACAATGAAGAGAAAAATGCGAGCATTGTCTGAAAACATTGGAAAGGTTCAAAGCACAGACAACCAGAAGCAGACGCAAAGACGTGGACGGTACGTGCCCGTCCGCACAGTATGTACACTGTATCCATGTCGCCTTTTCAGCGGAGCCTGCGCTTTAAATACAGTGCGCCGATGTGTTTCACGTTCTGCCCACCCTTGCATACCAGCATGTCAGAACGAAGCAGAAAACATGGAGCCGCCACGAAATCCCACGAAAACACAAAAGACTGAAAGGGGACAGGCCAGAATAGGGGCTGCAGAAGATGTGCATCCCAGCTGGCGGGGCTCCAGCTGCCACTCTCACCGTGCTTGTGTCGGCATATGACTGCTTTGGGCACAGGTGACGAACAACAGAACAGCAGCAGAGCTTTTGTTCCTCGCTTCGCCTTCTTTGACCGTCTCATCCCTGCCAACAGAATAGATGTATCTTGCGACGAGCTGCAGGTTTGCATCAACAATAAAAGCAGGAATGACAAGCGGACCGCAGTACAATGACATATGAAAACGCGGCAGGTCGACGACCGGCAGTGGCTGCGACCCGTATTGAGGGGCGTGCATGTTACGGCTGCGTGGAGACCATTTGCAAACAGCGTGGAGCATGTTGTATGCTGTACAATACACTCAATATATCGGAGAATGGAGGCTGACGAGGATGACAGGAAAACCAAAGTGAAAAGAAACGGTAAAATGCCAAGTATCAAACTGGCCAAATCAGGCCAAATCAGAAGAACGCCCTCAGCTCACTTTCTTCCGTAGCTCGAGCCGTCACGTGTTGAGACGCGACTTGTCCGTGCACCGTCTTCTGGTGCATTCTACAGGTCACCCACTACCAGGACCGCCCGACGCACTGTGGACAGCATCCCACAGCGCCCACCGTCCAGGCCCTGTGTTTGTCTCTGTCCTCCCGGTCCGCCCGCTCATCGTTTGCTTTTCTCACCCCCTCGCAGGTGGGGCCGCGGAGTGTGCAGCAACGCCCTGAGTCCTAAATACGAATAGGTACAGAAAGTGCCCCCCAGCCCACATAGTTTCGTCGCTTTGCCCTACTAGGGCCGCCCAGAACGCCGTGCACAGAAGTACCAAGGAAGGCACCATCCAAGACAAGTGCGACGGACAACATACGACTTGCTACCCTCCTACCTTCCTTCCATTCTCACCAACCAAGCCCATACCCATCGCTCCTTCTCCGCCAGCATCCGCTACCAACACGCCCGTCACCCACACAAACCTGTTTCATTCTCCTCCCTTTCGACGGCCCTCCTTTTTCCTTTCTCGACGCCTCGACTCCCTCCATCGTTTCCAACCCATTCCTTTCTTTTCGTCGTTCTTTTCTCTCCCCATTTCGCCAATTTTCGTCGATTCCTCTTCCCTTCTCTTCCATCCTTTTATTTTTACCGTCGACGAGCCTCCACCTCCCCATTTTGGTCCACATCGCCACATCGTGTCGAAGGAGCCCGGCCTCCTCCGACTCGACTCTCAACAACAGGACCAACACCTCTTATCTACCTTATCCTCATCTTCTCGGTGTGTCGACGAGCACGCCGGGAATCGGGGCCGATGTAAAGGCTCCTCGTCGCCCACTCGCACCACCATGATGCGCAGGCGGCCCGGAGGTCACAATGTTGGCCAACGCATGCTGTTCCTCGCCATCGCCCTGTTTCTCTTGAACCCGGCCCTCGTCCATGCTCAACAGCAGCAGCAGCAGCAGCCGCAGCAGCAACAACGACAACTGGACAAGAAGGAGCCAAAGCAACCACAGGAGCTAAACGAAATCAAGGAACCGAAAAGCCACCCTAACATCCGCACCGCCGTCGCCAGCTATGTCTCGCCCGCCGAAGCCGACGCCTTTGCGGCGGCGGCCGCCTCCGCCGAGACCGTCGAAACCGTCGAGATTGAAACGACAAAAACCAAAGCACAGCGGCCCAAGACGAAGTCAAAGTCGCTGACAGAAGAAACGAGCCCGGCCTCGCAGCCGAGCGTCTCGTTTTCGACATCCACCGGCCAATCCGCACGATTGAGCCAGGCGGCCACGCCCGACTCCAAAACTGAAAAGTCGCAAAACAACAACAGCAACACCAAAAATACGAAAAACGCAAAAAATAGTAAAAACACCAAAAACACAAACAAATCCAATGCCACTGTAGCTCCGGATCTGTCCGTTCGAGCACCTTCTCTAGCGCACCGGGACCTCGATACCGTCGACTCCTCCGACGGCCTGGGCCTCGCTTCGCCGCATATTGCGCGGTCGCTGGCAGACTGGGAAGTGGAAGACTTTGTTCTTCTGGCCACC